TAAAATTGTAAGATATTTAAAGCTTACAACATGACGATTTATTAACTCTTTTTAAAAAAATCTTTATTATTGAAAGTATGACATATGTCCCCTTTCCCCCCCCCCCATTGATCCCTTTTAGCACCCCCCCACCTCACTCCCACCCCAGCATTCAAACCATTGTCTGTGTCCAAGGGTTATGCATATATGAGTACAAGTTCTTTGGTTGATCTCTTCCCATCCACGCACCCATCCCCACCTTCCCTCTGAGATTCAACAGTCTGTTCCATGTTAACTCTTTTCTTAAGTCTTCTATCCTTTTTGATTGTTCACCTAACCACCACCCCCCCCGCCCTGCCAAATTCCTTTATTTTCTCATATGAGGCAATTTAACTATGTCTAAATTTAGATATGTCTAATTATTCAACTGTCTCCCCTTACCCTTCCTTCCTGAAGGTGCTATAAGCATATTTTCCCAAACCAAGATGTTTTCACCTCAAAAAGGAACTGTTTTCCAGCTTTTAAATGGCTTTTCACTCAACTTCTTACGTAGCATAAATAGTAACAAAATTTGTACCACTTTGTAACCACGATGCATAGCAAGAAGCAGGAGAGCATGAGATTTAAGCCTACAGATGTGGGGACAGACTTCCTGGGTTCAAAATCTTGACTTGACTTTACTCAGCAATGAAATTATAAATAACCCAATTAAAAATGGGCAAAGGCTCAGAATAGACATATATCCAGGGAAATGCTTCCAATAATAAATTGGCTTATAAGTACACAAAAAAAGACTCTCAAGCATCATTAGTCATCAAGGAAATGTAAATCACACCCACCAGGATGACTAAAATCAATAGGCAGACAGAAACAAGTGTTGACTAGGAGGTGGAGAAATTGAAACCCTACACAGTGCTGGTAGGAATGTAAAAGAGTATAGCATCTTTGGAAAACGGTCTGATAGGTCCTCAAACAATTAAACACAGTGTTAACATAAGACCTAACAATTCCATTCCTAGATATAGCTTCAAAATAACTGAAAACATAGGTCTACACAGAGACTTGTACACGCATGTTTATAGTGGCGTCATTTCCTTTACAGATGTGCCAGCAAATCCCTAGACCCTCAGGCCCTTGACCTCCTCAACTCCAGGAGCTTCCCCTCTACCTCATCCCTGCCCCTCAGTCTGACAGTACCTGGAACCATCCACCTCTGAAGTCCTACATTCAGACCTGCTACTGCCCTGCTCACCTAGCTCTCGTGTGGCATGAATCCCAGCATAGCAGTTCTTTAACCCCAGGAGGACCTACAGACAACTATAAGTCCCTACTGTCATCAATTATTTGAATTATCCAACTGAGATTTCATCATTTCAGTCATTCTCTTACCAATATCCTCAGCCTCCTGGCCCTTTTGCCTTTCCGCCCCAGAGGCTGATAAACCCTGCCTGTCTTTTCTGTGCAGCTGGCTGAAGAGAACTGCTAAAGAAAAATTACATCCCTTGCATGTTGATGCCATTTTAAACACAGGGTGGGGCAAAAGTAGGTTTACAGCTGTTAGTATGTGAAACACAGAGTTTATTCTTGTATTGTTATTTATTAATTACTGTGTTATTTTCCATATGAACAACTGTAAAGCTGCTTTTGTCCCACCCTGTACATAGCCACCATCACCACCCAGGGCCTCCAATAAAACTGTCAATCTGTTTTTATTTCCTTAATCTCCACAATAATTATTTCAAACATTTGCTACCCTTCTTAAACTTCTTGCCTACCCCCCTCAATTTCAGCAAGTTTTCTGGTGCACATATGCACACGTGGGCACACACACACACACACTCCATCAGAATGACAATTCTTTATTATCCTGGTAACAAGTTTGTAAGTCTTTGGTCTTTGGAATTTGTGCTCATCGTATCTTCCTTTCCTCCTAAGATTAATTTCTCTCTAGCCCATCCTCTTCTCAGGGCTTGACTCAATTAATTATCTCCTAATTCCCTTTTATCTTAAATGTTTTCCTCCTTAAAAATGCTCTTACCATCCCACCTAGACCTCCTGATACTAACTTCTCTCTCTCCGGCTTGAAAGAGTTGGCGACACTTCCTTCTTACTCACTCCTCAGCCTATTCCAATCAGGCTCCCACCCACCATTTATCTGAAGCTGTTCTCCACAATGTCACTCGCGTGACTTATATGATGCTAATTCTAGCGGAGAAGTTTCAGTTCTTATGTTTCTTAACTTCTCAGTAGTATGGTACTTGATCAGTTCCTACTTCTCTGATTTTAACAGCGTTATTGAGGTATAACTGACACGTAATATTGTGCACATGTTAAAAGTACACAATTTGATGGGTCTTGTCATTTGTATACAGTCTTGAAACTATCACCACAGTCAAGACAATGAACATATCCATCACCCCCAAAAGTTTCTTCATTTCCTTTGGTAAAACCCTCCCATCCCTCTTCACTTCCTTCAATCCCTGGGAAACCAGTGGTGTACTTTTTATCACCAAATTCTAAAATCTGCAGTGTGAATTTTCTAGAATTATATATAAACTAGATGCCTGGTGCACAAATTTGTGCATCGGTGGGGTCCCTTGGCCTGGCCTGCGGGATCGGGCCAAAACCGGCTCTCCAATATCCCCTGAGGGGTCCTGGATTGCAAGAGGGCACAGGCCAGGCCAAGGGACCCCACTAGTGCACTCGGGGCTGGGGAGGGACACAGGAGGTTGGCCAGCTGGGGAGGGACTGTGGGAGGGCTCCAGGGCATGTCCAGCCTGTCTCACTCAGTCCTCATCGGCCTGACCCCAGTGCATCTAGAAGGAAGGGTTCAGGAATCTGGAGAAGGGGCTGCTGTAAATTATTAAAGAGTCTAGAGATGAAACATAATTCTGGAAGGCATTTTGGGGAGCCAGAGAAGACTTAGCTAAAGGAACCAAGTTCTCTTGTCTCTCTGGACCCCTTGCTTTTTATTAACACAAATTGTCCTAAGGCAAAGTAGATATACAGATCAAAGGCAAGGTTTAGTACAGTGGGGCCTTGACTTACGAGTGTCCCTACTAACAAGTTTTTTGAGGTACCAGCTGTCTCTCTGCTGATTTTTTGCATTGAGTTGATATAATAATTTGAGCTAAAGATCTCCTTAACGAGCCGTAAATCAAGGCCCCACTGTATACAGAATCCATTGTCTGATTGGGGAAACTGCCTACAGCTGTGCAGGTGTCGGGTAGCAAGCAATCATCTATGCAAATCTTTAGGGGTGGGGAAATGCCCTTAGCCATTTCCAGCAGGCAATCCTCAAGGTTCCATCAACCTTTTGATGAAACTTCTTACATTTATGATAAACTGGAATTAGCTTCTGGCACCCCAGCAGCAAGCTAACCTACTGGTGGGAGCATCTGCCCCCTGGTGGTCAGTGCACGTCATAGTGAGCGGTTGAGCGGCCTTAGCATATCATTAGCATATTATGCTTTGATTGATTGAATGGATGACCGGGTGACCAGACATTTAGCATATTAGGCTTTTATTATATAGGATGGAATCATAAGTATGTACTTCTTTTTTTGGGGGGAAGAGGGGGGCAGTCCTGGCTTCTTTCATTCAACATAACTACTTGGAGACTCATTCAAGCTGTTAAGTGCATCAAAACTCTATTCCTTCTTATTGATGAGTAGTATTTCATTATGTGGATATATCACAATTTGTTTATCCATTCACCTATTGATGAACATTTGCTTGTTTCTTGTTTTTGATTATAACAAATAAAGCTTCTATGATCATTCATATACACATCTTTATGAATAACTTTTATTTCTCCTGGAAAATTACCTAGGAGTCACAATAATAAATGTATGCTTAACATATTTAACAGTTTGAGAAATTGCCAAGTTGTATGAGAAAGCCAGTTGCTTCACATTCTCATCACTCAAATTGACCTTGGAGCATATGTCTTTCAAAAAAATGGAAATGAATTATCTGGAAGAAAGATCCAGAATACATTAGGGTGGTGCAATCAGGAATCACAGCCAGATATTGACTACTTAAACATCCCCCACCTTCACCCCCTGGAAACCAGATATAAGCCTCAGATGGCAAAGCTTAAATAAATGACTGAACAGGGAACCTGCTTATTCTCAGGTCATAATCATGACTTGAAGACAGGATTAAACAGTTTCAGGAATTGGCAAAACCAACTGTGCTGCGGCGGTGGGCAAACTTTTTGACTCGAGGGCCACAATGGGTTCTTAAACTGGACCGGAGGGCCGGGACAAAAGCATGGATGGAGTGTTTGTGTGAACTAATACAAATTCAAAGTAAACATCATTACATAAGAGTACGGTCTTTTCTTTTTTTAGTTTTATTCATTTCAAACGGGCCGGATCTGGCCCGCAGGCCGTAGTTTGCCCACCTGAGAAATTCATTGCTACCTTGGGAGTTAACATAACTAACTGAAGTCATCAAGAAAACTATATTCTACTATCAATTAATCGCCAAACACCAGGAAAATTATCATCGTTACCATTATAATTCAAAATAGACACTATCAAGTGGTTTTCCTGGGATCGGGTTCAGGAACCAATTGCTTCAGCTCCATTGGAATCCCTAAGGAGGAAGAATTCTCACTTCTCCCTGCCTTACCAACTGTCAGCCTCCAACCGCTCCTCTTCTGTGTAATCGGCTTAAAACACATCCCAGATGCCAATGTTTGATGTCCAGGACAAACGATGTGGTAACTGCCTACCAATGCTTGGGGAAAAGTGAACCAGACTCTAGACTAGACTTAGGCACTGGGAGATAGAGGTTTGGGGAGATTTCCCAAAAACCGCAGGTGGCCAGAAGGGTTGTGGGAGAGTTGGTTGAATGGTCCCAAAGGCCTTGGACCCTAGATGGTTGGGGATCTGCAGTGTACCTGGCGCACGGTTCAACTTTTCTCCGTGACTTGGAACCGCAAGCTCCGCGCCTGCTAGCCCACGCCAGGGCTTGGACTACATTTCCCAGAGGGCTTTGCTCCCGGGTTTTGAAGTAAAGTACTAGGGCGCGCCAGGGAGGGGAAACCACGGTTGGTGAGCACCGCTGGGGCACCTCGCTGTGCTGCTGCAAGATGATTGGGGTCCTGCTCCTGCTCCTCCTTCTCCCCCTTCTCCTATTCATCGCTGCACCCCAAATCAGGTCTGTGCAAATGTAATGTCTTTTCTTGCGAATCTTCGGGGGCGGGGGGACGGGCATCTATCATCACGGAAGCTCTGTTCTTCAAAAGAAGGAAAAGGAGAACTCCCCGGTGGGCTCCATGTGGGCCTAGGCCGGGTTCGGTTGGTCTGAGGGGGTCCGGCTGCCCTGGATGCGGGGAGGGCGACACTATCAGACCCCAGGCCGAGGGACGGGATTGCATACCGGCGCGCCCTGCTTTGTTTCTCCTGCCCCCCTTTTTCCTCTAAGCAGCCTTTGCTTCCGGCTCCAGCAAACCCCGAGTGCAGGGCTACCTCAGACACTTAAGTTTACAGAGTTGGGGGTTTCAGACCCCAAAATAAGGTGTGCACCCCAAGACTCTATTCCCCGTAGCCCCCACGCCTTGAACCGGCCCTTTCTAGCCTCTTGCTTCCAGCCTGTAAAGTACAATGGAGCCATTCAACTTTCTGCTTTCCGAAACCGGCCTTTGATGGGAATCGTGACATCTGCCGCCCATGCCTGCTCTCTTGTTACTGTTAGATGCGCTCTTTCTCTGGGCGACGTTGTAAAGGAGAAAAAGTGATATCCTGCACCCAACCCTGTCCTCAGAGCAGGATTATCGGGGTCGAAGTCCATCCCTGGGGTTTCAGGGTGGGGCGGCGAGGACGCGGGTGGCGCTCCATTAACCTGGTGATGCATCAGGCAATAGCTGGCCAAGTGTCCGCAGAGACTCAGCAGCGAGCTGCCGAGCAGGCCGCCTGCTGATTGGTCTGAGTAAATCACCAGGAGTGACGATGAACCAGTGACTGGAAGGACACAGCCTCCTGGGGGCGGGTGGTGCAGGGGCGGAAGCTGGGATGCAGTCGCTGCCCGTTGGAACGTGAAGGCGCGCAAAATTTCACTCTTATTTCTTCTTGAATTCACCTCTTCTTTCCCCTCCTCCCCACCTTCCTCTGGCCCCTCATCCAGTTGTATTTTTCCTCCCCTCTGAACACTCATTGCTCCTACCTTTAGGCACCCTTGGGTGCCCGTACTCAGAAGACAACGGCTGCTTTTTTAAAAAAAGAGGAAGGGAGAGAGAGAGATAGAAACATCAATGATGAGAGAGAATCGCTGACTGGCTGCCTCCTGCATGCCCAATGGGGATGGAGCCCTGACTGGGAATTGAACTGTGTGAGCTCCACGCTCAACCACTGAGCCACTGCGCTGGGCTGCTTTTTCTCTCTCCACAACACCAGAACCTCGTATCTACATAGAATCTCAATGGAAAGTTGAACCTGAAATGAAAATTGGGAGGGCAGGAGCGGGGTGGGTAAGAGATCAACCGAAGGACTTGTATGCATGCATATAAGCACAACCAATGGACGTAAAACACTGGGGGGTAGGGGAGGCCAGGGGACTGTCAAGGGCGGGGGGAGAAAAAAGGAGACATATGTAATACTCTTTGTAATACTTTAAGCAATAAAAAAAAAAAAGAAAGAAAGAAAATAGTGCTCAGACCTCAGCGAGATGCTTCTGAGGAAGATTATACTCCAAGAGTCATGTTCCCAGCTGCCTAGTTAGGTCATGGGAGCTAGGCCGGAGCTGGCTTTCATTCCTGCTGGTTTGGGAGAAGAAAGGCCTGAATAGAGGTCCTAATACATTGTCCCTCCTGGAGCTAACGCTGAAGAGATGTGGGAAACGGGGCGGGGGAGGCTGACACCTTATCTGCCTCCTTTGCACTAAGCAGGGGAACTTTAGTGGCTAAGAGTGTGTACCTTGCAATTCTAAGTTCAATGTAAAAGGCTGAAATGCCTTTTAAAAATGCATCTCCTAGTGAACGGATTCTTTCAATTTGAGCTTCAAGATTTGCAGAGAAGAGAAAAGAACAATCTGAGGCCTGCTAATTACTGTTTGTATATTCATTTCTGTAGAAATGAAGAAGAGTGCAGTGCTTAAGGACAAGGACTCTAGTGAATTAAACCAGAACTTGAATCTCTGCTCCCTTTTGTACTTCTGTTTCCTTTTGTCTTATTTTTAATTGTGTGTGTGTGTTTTTCTGTTTGTTTTGTCCCAGGTTGACAAGCTTTCATAATTTTAACTTTTGTGTTGGATTAGCTGTTTTTCAAAGCCATTAAGTGCTAATTATAAACATATTGATATAAGTGGACCAGTTCTTTCTTCTATCAGGCTGAGTCTTGTGATTCCCTGAAATTTAGGGAATTTTTAGGAAAATTTAGGGCCTAAATCATAGAAGAACTCAAACCAAAGCCAGTTGCCAGGCTAATCAAATATTCATTTGATTCAGTTCTTGTACTGTAGGGAGTCACTCAAATTATTATTGCCCTGTAATAGCCTCACTTTTATTCTTGAGTGAGGACAGAAAACTTTTGTTTTCTTTCCTCTGACCTTCCTTAAACCTATAAAAGGATAGCCGTAGGCCGAAACCGGTTTGGCTCAGTGGATGGAGCGTCGGCCTGCGGACTGAAGGGTCCCAGGTTCGATTCCGGTCAGGGGCATGTACCAGGGTTGCGGGCACATCCCTAGTAGGATGTGCAGGAGGCAGCTGATCGATGTTTCTCTCTCGTCGATGTTTCTAACTCTCTATCTCTCTCCCTTCCTCTCTGTAAAAAATCAATAAAAATATATTTAAAAAAAAAAAAAAAAAAAGATAGCCGTAGAAGGAACCAAAGCAAGCCTTATCCTTGAGATCTGAAGACACGGGGGTTTGCAGGATCCTCTGGTTGAAACAAGGAAAATGAAGAACTGATGGGCTTTCCTTCTGTGTCTACAGGAAAATGCTATCCAACGGGGTGTGTACATCAACTGCCCAGCTTCCAGGGAAGGTGGCAGTGGTTACTGGTGCCAACACAGGCATCGGGAAGGAGACAGCCAAAGAGCTGGCTCAAAGAGGCAAGTTTATCTACTTCTAATTCTCTGCTGCCATTTTACCTTGCAATGATGGCCATTCTCATTTATTTCCTCCCAATCCTGGAATTCAAGAACATTCCAAGTGCCCCACTGACTTGCTGGTGTGAGCCTAGTACAATGCTCTCTATATAATGAGCACTTAATGAGTATTGTTGATTAATCTTCTTTCCTCATTTACTCCTCAGATGCCTCTGTTGTGAAGTAGGGATAAAATAAATAAAACAGTAGAAATAACATCCAGCATCAGTATCTATATATATAAAAACCTAAGCGACCGGCAGACCTTTTGACCGGTAGCTATGACGTGCATTGACCACTAGGGAGCAGACGCTCAACACACAGGCATGGAAACATGGAACAGACTGATGAATCTCAGATGGATTCATGCACCAGTGGGGTCCCTCGGCCTGACCTGCGGAGATCGGGCCAAAACTGGCTCTCCGACATCCCTCGAGGGGTCCTGGATTGCAAGAGGGTGCAGGCCAGGCCAAGGGACCCCACCGGTGCACAAATCTGTGCACCAGGCCTCTAGTTAAGTCTATAATACCCACTCAACAACAGAGCTGACAGTTTGTCTCTTATGCATTGGTTGGCAGGAGCGCGTGTCTATATAGCTTGCCGGGATGTGCAAAAGGGGGAATTGGTGGCAAAAGAGATCCAGACCATGACAGGGAACCAACAGGTATTCGTGCGGAAACTGGACTTGGCTGATACTAAATCTATTCGAGCCTTCGCTGAGGGCTTCTTAGCAGGTGAGTGCATAACCTGAGACTACGTTGTGGGTCTTGCAACTTAGCTAAAAGGAAAAGATCCCTCTTTCTGTCTGATATATAGAAATGCTAGATAAAATATAACAAAACAAAAACACCTTTTGATTCACAGCAGAACTCAGTGGTAACAACGGGAAATCCTCAAGAGGCAGACATATAAAGTGAATTCTGAAAAGTCATGGCAGTGAGTAAGAACTAAAACCAAAAATCTCACAGGAGTGTCAGAACTCAACATGGGTTTTAGGGTCTGGAGATGAGGCTTTAGGCCCTTGAGAGCTGGGGAGCTGTATCTGAGGCTCCACATACGGAAGGTTGGGATTCACAAAAGGCCATCGGGTCCATGGTACAGGAGCTTAAAAAAGCCCAGGCTACCAGCTGAGGAACATGACAAAGAAGCTTATCATCTCTTCAGGACACAGATGGGTAAAGAATCATCTTCAGGAAATTAGAACCCCCCAGCTGGCATCTATGGGGCAGGGGGGATCTACACCTCAGAATAGTGTTAAGAATCTTAAGCTGAGAAATTAATGTAAAACCCTGTAGTATCACATGAAAAGCACATCCAAGAGCATTCTGTAGGCATAGCCCTTCATAAGCCAGGAAGCTAGGACTCCCAAGGAAAGGAACTTCCAGCATAATGAGCTTTTAGTCAGAAATTACCACATGAGAAAGGGAAACCTGAGAGAAAGTTGGCAGATGCAACAAAGAGGTGAAGCCAGTATTTCTTTTGGTGCCTGAATCCCAGTGGTGGGGGTGCATACAGAATGTCCTTTCTTCTCTTGCTTTGGAATCTTCCCATCCAGCTGGGAAGTCTTTCTGTTGGGAGAGGTGGATGGAACACTTCCCAGAAGCAGAGAGTAAGTTTTCCTGAATTGGGAAGCTTGGAAAGGCCATTTGATAGTGTAAGTTGGACTTTTGTCCTGCATAGTAAAAGTATGCAAGATTCAACTACAGTCTTAGAATAAAACAATACAAAATAAGTATGAAGGGAACGTGGAGGAAAGATTGAAGTCCTGCATCTCCATTTTCAGAGCTTAGGTGTGAGGCAGATTTCTAAGATGTAATAGCTATGGCTCCATCCCCTCTTCCCTACAGACGAAAAGCATCTCCACATATTGATCAACAATGCAGGAGTGATGATGTGTCCCTACTCCAAGACTGCAGATGGCTTTGAGATGCATATAGGAGTCAACCACTTGGGTAAGAAATCTGGTCTCATCACAAAAGCTAGAAGGAGCCTGAAGTTCCCCTTGAAAAACTTAGGGATGAGATTGAGCCATCTCTATAGTGTGTTTAGACCTCTCAGCCATAATAGACTGTCTATACCAGGGGTGGGCAAACTTTTTGACTTGAGGGCCACAATGGGTTCTTAAACTGGACTGGAGGGCCGGAACAAAAGCATGGATGGAGTGTTTGTGTGAACTAATATAAATTCAAAGTAAACATCATTACATAAAAGGGTATAGTCTTTTTTTTTTTTAGTTTTATTCATTTCAAACGGGCCGGATCCGGCCCGCGGGCCGTAGTTTGCCCACGGCTGGTCTATACTAATAAAGGATAATAGGCTAATTAGACTGGATGTCTTCCGGATGTCCTTCTGGACAAAGTCACGGTGGCAGGGGCCAAGGCAGAGGCAGTTAGCGGTGATCAGGCTGGCAGGGGAGGGCAGTTAGGGGGCAATCAGGCTGGCAGACAGAGGTGGTTAGGTGCAATCAGGCAGGCAGGCAGGCGAGCAGTTAGGAGCCAGTGGTCCCGGATTGCAAGAGGGATGTCTGACCGCCAGTTTAGGCCTGATCCCGAGGGGTCCCAGATTGGAGAGGGTGCAGGCTGGGCTGAGGGACACCCTCACCCATGCACAAATTTCATGCACTGGGCCTCTAGTCCTATATAATAAAAGGCTAATATGCAAATCAGTCAAACGGCAGAATGACTGGTTGCTATGATGTGCACTGACCACTCAACACAGGAGCTGCCCCCTGGTGGTCAGTGCACTCCCACAGGGGGAGCCTCTCCTGCCTCCACGACAGCACTAAGGATGTCCGACTGCCAGCTTAGGCCCTCTCCCCCTGGGCCTAAGCCATCAGTCGGACATTCCTCAAGGGCTCCCGGACTGCAAGACGACTCAGGCCTGGCTAAGGGCCCTTTCCCAATGAGTGCACGAATTTCGTGCACTAAAATATCATGGTCCTGCCTGAAAGCTCAGGGATAAACTCGAGGCTCACTCAATTCCACCACGTTTTAATCTGTGATTCAGATTCCGTTTACCGTGGGGCATTTTTGAACAGCATAATTGTATCAAGGGTTATGTTACATTCTTTGTAGTGACCCTTGTGGCCAGCATCAGATAGAGGCTGCCTGCTCTTACTACACTTGATCTTAGCCAAAAGGCCAAGAAGCGATGCCTGCTCTTAAAGAGTGATGTTACTCAAAGTTGGAATGAGATGGGACTTCATGTTCATATTCACATAATCCAGACCTACCTCATCCAACAGTGATTTTCAACTTTTTTCATCTCATGACACATATAAACTAATTACTAAAATTCTGTGGCACACCAAAAAATATATTTTTTTGCCAATCTGACCCCAAAAAAGGTATAATTTTGATTGATTTACAAATAATAATAATAGTAATTAACTTTTTATTCCAAAGTAACTTTAAAAAAATCAGGTGCCCCTAGAGAGTGTTATGCTGAACAAAATAAGCCAGTTAGAGAAAGACAAGTATCACATGATCCCACTCTTGTAGAATTTGGTTAGCAAAATAAACTGATGAATGGAATGGATCCAGAGATGTGGAAGCATGGAACAGAGTGCAGAATCTTGGGTGAGGGCAGGTGGGTGGAAGGTGATCAACCAAAGAACTTGTATGCATATGTACATAACACATGGACACAGACAATAGGGTGGTGAAGGCCTGGGGCAGGGTGCCAAGGAGGGCTGGAGGGGAGCTATGGGGGGGAAATGGGGACATATGTAATACTTTAACAATAAAGATTAAAATAAAAAATCAGGTGCCTATACTTCTATATAAGGATTTCTGGTGCCAACAATTAACCAAGCAGATACAACCTTATTATACAATGTGAACAAGAAGATGAAACTCTATTATATTTTTGGTTCAAGACAGGGGCTTACATACCAGAGGGCTATTGTCTGTGTAGGCTGTTGTCATTTCATTCATTCATTCATTCATTCATTTTTGTTAATCCTCACCTGAGGATTTTTTTTCATTGCTTTTAGGAGAGAATGGAAGAGAGGGGTGAGAGAGGGAGAGAGAGAAACATCGACTGGTTGCCTTCTGCACACACTGCAACCCTTTGGTGCGCAAGCCAATGCTCTAACCACTGAGCACACCAGCTGCTGTCATTTTTTTTTGTTTGCCAGTCTAAGTGAAAAAAGGTCAGTGCATATGACTAAATAGTTAGGTATTGCATGTTTTAAAAATTCTTGCGGCACACCAGCTAAAAATCTTTGTTTCTGTTTCCCCAAACCCTCACTGAACTTGTTCTGTAGTTGACAATGAATTAATGAGGCAAAAAGCCTTATTCCTGAGTCCTCTTGCTCCCCATAGCTGAGCCCTACTCACCGCTGCTCCCTTCACCCCTGCACTGGCCCTGAACTCTGTTAATTCTAGTTTTTCTTACAGGTCACTTCCTCTTGACCCATCTGCTGCTAGAGAAGCTGAAGGAATCAGCCCCATCAAGGGTAGTGAACGTGTCTTCCTTAGCACATGCCCTGGGAAGGATCCATTTCCATAATCTTCAGGGCGAGAAATTCTACAGTGCAGGTCTGGCCTACTGCCATAGCAAGTTAGCCAACATTCTCTTCACCAAGGAACTGGCCCGGAGGCTAGAAGGTAGGCTTAGAAGAAATGAGTGTGGAGACATGAGTCGGGGAAGGAGCTCAAAGCCATAGGAACAGAAACTGTTTTCTGGAGCCTGTCCTCTGGCCAAGGCCTGCTTCCATGACTAGTTGGGTCTAGGTTTAGTAAACCGCCCATCAGTGAATATTGGAGATGGCCGACAGGGGATGGAGACATTCTGACTGTGAGGCTGAAGGCTTGGTTTCACCACTTCCTAGCTGTGTGACCTGCAGCAAGTTAACTTTTCTGAGGCTTGCTTCCTCATGTAAAATGGGACCACTTCACAGGTTGTTGTCAATTCAGGCTTCATGAGCAAGTCAAGGTTTTTTACTCATAGTGAAACTAAGTACAAGCGAGGGACCTGAACTGGCACTAGATACAGCCATTAGGATAAAGCAAGTGCAAGGGTGGGAGGGGAGTGGGGGGTGACTCCTAACAGCAAAGGGTCAAATAAGAGGGAAATGTATGCTTGAGGAGGGGACTCTCCAGTCACAGATAAACACAGTTCCTTAGCATCATCCACTCTGGATTTCCAGGAAAGACAAAGGAAATCCAGGGTGGACAGTTGGAGTTGCTTAGGAGTTGAGTTGGGCAGAGTTCAGGCCGAAGGAATCAGACACAGGAGCCCCCATTGGTCAGCTCAGTTCACATGTCCAGTCTATGCCCAGGACATGACATTCTGATTAGAAATTAAATGGGTTACAGTGTGGGCGGGTTGAGGGGGCTGAGGAACGTTCCAGGTAGAAGGGGAGAATGAATGAAGTTCTGGGCTCAGTTTGAGAAACAGAGAGAAGGGCGGTATGGTTTGAACATAGAATATAAAATATGGGTCATTTAGAGTAGATCTTGAGTTGAAAATAAATAATAATCCACAGTCCTTTATCTGTCACTTGTGAAATCTACAAAGGACTAAAAATTCAGTTTTTGTATAAGTTGACACCAGAGCACATTAGGCAGCAAAACTTCATCTGTACTAGGAAGAGTAGTAATAGACAGAATATGTATGTGTATCATATTCGCTTTATGATACAGAAAACAATTGAAAACATTTCTGGCCCCAAGGATTCCAGTGAAGAATTTGGGACCAAAAATGGTGTATGTATAAATGCCATTTGTACTGGTAAATGTATAACTGTACCAGACACTGTTCTTTTTTGTTTTTTTAGTATTCAAAACAGTTTACTCTTTTTTTTTTTAATTGTTTAAAGTATTACGTATGTCTCCTTTTTCCCCCGATTGACCCCTCCCCGGCCACTCCCACCCCCAGGACAACACTAGACACTATTCTAAGCTCTTGTACATATGAACTCATTTAGACCTCAGAACAATCCATTGAGGTGCAGATCTTATGATTATCCCCATTTTATAGATGAGGAAACTGAGTCACAACATCCAGAGCTTGCCAAGGTCACACAGCTAATGAGTGGTAGAGCTAGGATTTGAAACGGGGCAGTGTGTATTCATGTCATCTTCTCTCTTTGGCCCTTCAGCAACATTAAATCCTGTCTTCCCCTCTCTTTACGGCACACCCTCCTCAGGCTCTGGCGTTTCAGTGTATTCTGTACACCCTGGCACAGTCCACTCTGAATTGGTTCGGCACTCATTTTTCATGAGATGTATGTGGCGGCTTTTCTCCTTCTTCATCAAGACCCCTCAGCAGGGAGCCCAGACCAGCCTGCACTGTGCCTTAGCAGAAGGTCTTGAGAACCTAAGTGGGAATCATTTCAGGTATGAATATATCTGTTTTTGAAGATGAAATTCTATTGCCTAAAGGAAATAATGTGGGTTTGGTGTTCTATACCCTTTTTAAAAAGCACATTGTCTAACATAGTTTTTGTCCTTTAATTCTAGGGTTTTTACCTTTTAATAGGGGAATTGGACCCATTCACACTTTTTTTGTGGTAATTGCTAGGTTTGATTTTATTCATGTCATCTTTTATTTTATGTTTTCTGGTTGTTTCTTTTATTCCTATATTTTGTTCTGTCAATCCAATTTTCTTTGTTCCTTGTTAGAATCCTAGTTTTATTTATTTTTATTTTTTAAAAAGAATTTGAACCTGTATTTCTTTATTGTCTTCAGGACTGAAATAGTATCAATGGACTCATTTCTTGAATAAGTGAAGACTTTTTTAAACTTTTTATTAGAGAATTTTGAATATACACAGCAGTAGACAGAATAGCATCTCGAATCCCCATATACCCATAATCCAGCCTCAACAACCATTACCCATGGCCAATCCTGCCCCATCCCAATCTACAACCCCTCATGAAACCACTATCCTTCCCATATTTTTCTCATCCCATATTATTTGGAAGGAAATCCCAGATATTACATAAGATCAAATTCTTAGGGTGTTTTTACCTCTACCTTCAAGATTTTATGGAAATGACCTGAAATTTTAGAGGATGGACTATACATAAATTAAGGTTGGATTGGGAGGTAGGAAGTCAGATCATGAAAGGCCTATAATGCCAGACTGAGAGGAGCCACAGTTTTCAGTAGAGAGAGACATAATCTGGTCTGTGCGTTAGAAAAACATCCCTGGTGGTGACTTTGTTTAATGAATTAATAGGTATCCCAAGTGAGAGATAATGAGTTCCTGATTTAGGGTAATGACGATTGGAATGAAAAGAGCAGTTAAGTGAGAAAGGCAGAATTTTTGCCATTTGTTGACTAACTGAGTGAGAGAGTAGGGGAAGATTTGAGACAGCATACATGAAAAATTGTGTATAACTCAGGGCTCTTTGATTCCAAAGCAGTGGAATTGGATTCTAGCTAGCATAAGCAAGAAGGGAATTTACTAAAATATGAGGATACTCCCCGGTCCAAAGAGAAGACTGAAGAGCCAGGCTGTAGTATTTGAATAATTTTTACAGCACATCGTAGCTCCCAAGGCACCTTCATGCCTATTGTGTCTTTTGCTCTTCACCCTAAACTATGAAGAGTGTGAGGCTCAGCGCAGTGGAGGCTGCAGAGGCCAAGTCATTCCCAGAGGCACACAGAGCCTTTGCTTCTCAGTGATGAACTTTTCACTCGGAAATGGCAGGCCGTGCCGGCGAGTTCCCTTAAACCGAAGTGCTTTATTTGTAAGGCTTGTTTTTAAATGCAAAGACTCATTTAAGTCATTTTTCTCAAACTCTCGTGCATTTAAGAACCATCTGGAGAACTGGCTAAGAACAGAGTCTGGGCCTCTCCCCAGAGATTCTGATTGAGGAGGCCTGGCATGTCTCACAGGTTTCCAGGCGACGCTCCTGCTGCTGGTCCCCAGCCCACACTTGGAGTAGCACGGTCTCAGTGGACACAGGGTCAGGAGTTTGCTTCATGTCATTACTTCAGACTTATCAACTCAGCTTTTCACCTTTGGAATTTGCTTAGTATGTCCAGGAAGCAGTTTTCTTGAGAAAAGTTTTAAAATTTGCTTTTTATATTATTTCAAAGATTGTGATCTGTTTACTCAATCATTTAAAAAAAGAAATAAAAACCTCCATTGAATACCTACTGTGTACTAGATGCAGAAAATACAAAACTGAGTAAAAGTATTATCCTTGAAAAAAATTTCTGGTGCAAAGTTGAGATATCCACGCTGCATTTAATGGAGACTTAAAATAATTAGAATTACAGCGATGAAGAGAAGGTATGTGAAACACTGGGTACCTTGTTACCATTTCTTTTCTGCTATCATCTTTTCCTTCTTTCGTTATTTATGAAGCTGACTTTACTTGTTTTTTTGTTTGTATGTTTTTGTTTTTAGTTTAAAAACAGGTGGACCGGAAATAAGTGTTTTTGTGTTGTTTTATTTACCATTCTAAGCATCTGTGACCAATGTAAATAGCAGGATCTCAGGTCCATGACACTGTACAGGTCCTATAGATTGGACCTCAGAGATTTATTTGAACAAAATGGACATAGGTATCAAGCAGGTACTGATAATACAATTAAATATATGCATACAAAGGAGAATGTTAAGACTAAATGATACACATTTATATCAAACAAAGCATTCTGATCAGAGGTGGTCTAGTGTGATCTAAAATGGTAATTACAGCCCAGCTGACGTGGCTTAGTGGTTGAGTGTAGACCTATGAACCAGGAGGTCACAGTTCAATTCTGTTTGATTCTCAATCAGGGCACTTGTCCGGGTTGTGGGCTCGAGGCGTGCAGGAGGCAGCTGATCAATGATTCTCATCGATGTTTCTCTCTCTCTCTCCCTCTCCCTTCCCCTCTGAAATCAATTTAAAAATCTCAATGGATTGAGATAATACTCCAGAGAATGACAGTTTAAAAAAAATAAAATAAAATGGTAATTACATCTTCTCTGGGGTAAGATTGGAGGATGAAGAGCTAGGACAGACACTGGATCTGTGAAGTGCCTAGAGGACATGCCACCCCTGCGTTGTTTTTCCGTCGTATTCCTCATCCCAGGCAGAGAACAGACTCCATTCTCAACCCCTCTCTTTCCCTTCCAGTGACTGCCGGGTGACGTGGGTCTCTGCCCAGGCTCGGAATATGACAATAGCAAGGCGGCTATGGGACGTCAGCTGTGACCTGCTGGGCATCCCTCTGGATTGACAGGTGGTGGCCGTTGGACCCAAGAGAAGTGTGCAGCAGACTACTCAGTGCTCCCTGCCAAAATGACTCTCCTTCAGGGTGGCCAAACCTTGAGCACAAAGGGAGCAAACCTCCGGCCTTGGCAGCTCTCTGAGAGAAGCCCCGTGCGCACTGCCAGGCATCGCCACGCCTTGCATCTGTCCAGATCAACTTTGCTCCCCTCCTTGCCAGTTACTAGAGATATCACAGGACAAGTACCCCCTCGGGACCGCCAGCTCATCTGTTCCCTCTGAGACCCACCGCCTAGGAGAACCTAAGCTCTGGCAGGGTTGATTTGTGGCAGTTTGGACTCATTTCTACCCTCTCTGTTCACGGTGTATTGTCTCCCAACCAAACAACCTTCACTTGGAGAGGGCCACGCTACAGCCTGAGCTGGATCCAGGAGTGATGCTGGCTCGCTTGGCTCAAGAGCAGGGCTTGTCCCTCACCTCTTAAGAAAACCGTCGTAGGGCCAACATCTGGATTCTTTCAGGAAATGTAACTGAATCTGGATTGTGGGATGGCTCTCTCTCTCTGACAACCTAAAGCCACTGCTCAGACACGTTCCCATGCCTAGACCATGGAAGAGCTTCCTTTTCTAAGAAGTTTGGAGGTTTGGGAGGATGGCAGAAACATGGGGGAAGGCAGAAATAAAAATGAAGTTTAAACTCTCATTTCCCTGCTATTTCTCTGACCAGCAAGGAGGTAATGAAAGGATCCGTTTGAGAAGGTAGGCAGGCCTCCTGACATCAGTTACTGACCCCAGACCCATGGAGGCCTCCTTTTTGTGCTGTAGTTTCTCTTTGGTGATTGTTATTGAATATATGTGTTCCTATGTACTTTTGCAGTTGGGAGTATTGTCACAAAATTTGAAGTAGCCACAAAGGAACAGTATTAAACTGGACCCTGATGCAGGTAAATGATCAGAGATGGAGCAAGCCAGTGCCATCCAGTCTTTGATACAAATGGCTAGAGCTGCAAGGGGAAGCAGATTCTGTTTATGTTGATAACTACCCACCAAGAAGCACATGAGTAGCAGGAATTCAAAGATAATAGGCCTGGAAGGTAATGAAGGGACTAAAGGATTTTTTTTTAAGCTGAAGATGGTAATATCCAGCCATAGAATTAAGGGTGAGCACCCGAGTTAGCAAGGCTGATAGAGCACTATCTTAAACACCAGTCAACCAATGTGGCAGAAAAAAAAACAAAAAAACCCCAATTCCTTATTTAGCAAAATTATCTTAAGGACTGATACTGGTAGTCAATTTAATAATTTTTTAGGGTTATCTCCTTACGTATCTTGACAAGCATACAATGACTATTTGCTAAAAACAAAACAAAAAACAGCTACATTGTATTTGGAGAACTTTTTAAAATGTGTTTTTGATTTTTTTAGAGAGAGGTAGAGACATCAATGTGAGAGAGAAACATTGATCCGTTACCTTCCTTTCAGTGCACGGGATGATGCTCAACCAACTGAGCCACACTTGCCAGGGCTTATTTGGAGAACTTTTTATCAAAAGTAATGTTGCCAGCCCTAGCTGGTTTGGCTCAGTAGATAGAGCGTCAGCCTGCGGACTGAAGAGTCCCCCGTTCAATTTCTGTCAAGGACACACGCCCGGGTTGCCAGATCGATCCCCGGTGGGGGGTGTGCAGGAGGCAGCCGATCAATGATTCTCTCTCATCGCTGATATTTCTATCTTTCCCTCTCTGAAATCAATAAAAACATACATATTTTTAAAAAAGTAATGTTGCCAAAGGAAATCTGAAGAATTGCTACTGTTTTCATCACTTGTTTACAGTATGTTATCCTAGTAAGAGTTTGAGATTTTCTTGGACCAACAATTATATATATACTTTGGTGGGGAAAAGAGTTATAGGACCAAGTCTTCTCATATTTGTAAATTAATAATCTTTTGTTGAACTTGTTTTGACTATATTTAGAAGTGGCCACTTTATGGAAAACTTTTTGTAATAGTGCAGTGGAATAACTGAATTAATATTTTACTTAATTTATATTTATCTGTCAATGACAAATAAAAATTTTTGATTATTTATTGTGTTTTAATTTACCAGAATAAAAACTATAAGAATTAAAAGAAAGTTTAAATAGAGTCAACAGAAGAAAACAATTGACGTTTAATTATAGTTGAAAGAAGAAACACTTCATTATTACGGGTATGCAATCATTTCTCATTCTAATAATAATCTGTCCCAGTCTTTCTACACTACAGTCTCAATTGAAATGCCATTAACTTCAGTTGTGTGATAATTTGACCATTCCTTCACCCATTTTCTACTTTCCTGTGGTGATGCTGTTCAAAGATTACTTTCCACCCCAGGTTAGCTCTCCTTTTGTGCCCGCCCCTTCGATAACTGGGATTTTACAGTACACTGCCGGACAATCTCAGGCTTTGCTCTATGTGCTTAATTTTAGGAGATCAACAAGTTTCTTGAATCAATGGTTAATGAACTCAGTCTAATAAAAATAAGGGCCCAGGAGATTAAAATCACCAAATCGTCCTCCTGAACAGACAGGTATCTTTTAATGTGTGTGGGCAGTTTTAAATACTGGACTGCCAAACAAACATTTCATAACGGGCTCCATAGGCAAACCATGAAATCGGTGAAAATAGGAATTCCCTTCCGCTGAACCACGAAAACCCGTGGAGCGCAGGAAGGACTTGAACACCTTACACTCACGGGAACAGACTGGAGGCGGGTCGCCCCGGCTCACCCCGTTATACATCGCCAAGCGCAGAGTGACTCTTTTCATCGTCAGCGCATGGCCCGACCCCTGCACAGTGACTGCTGACATTAAACATCGCTGGGTTCATGTTTCGGGGGTCACAACGCCCGGTGACCACTTCTGAAAGCAGGTGTCCCCCCCCCTGGAGGGCAGGCCGGAACCTGGCCCGAGTACCTTTCAAGGGCTGAAAACGACCATTCGGTCAGGACGCGAACTAAGTTAGTCAGGGGGCCGAAAAGTGCGAGGACAGGTAATGTCCAGTCGCACGCCGACACCCAACCAATACGCTCAGCGTCACCCCTCGGCAGCCGCGGCGCTGGGGTCCACCACGCCCCTCAACTCGTGACCTCCGGGTAGGCCCGCCCTCCCCGCCGAACTACAGCCCCCGGCATGCACCGCGGCGCCCGCCCTTCGCCCGGAGGCGGGGCGTGAGCGGGGCGGAGGCGGGACCCTGAGCGGGGCTGCCGCGCTGCCCGATCCGCGGCCCGCACAGTCCCCTCGCTGTGGCGCGTCCCCGAGCCCGCACTGGGTGTTTCCGGAGGTGTGAGACTCCCGCCAGCCCGGGCGCGCCGCCGGCTTCACAGGAGCCTCCGGGCAGCGCAGCCCGCCCGCCTTTCCGTCAGGCTTTCGCGCCCGGCGCCCCCGCAGTGATGGCGTGAAGAGGGTGGGCGTTCCGGTCCGGGAGGCCCCCGCCGCGGCTCCGGAAGCGCCTCTTCCTGGGCGGCCGTGGTGGTGGTCGCCGTGATGTCTGCGGGGCTGGGTGGCTGACCCCCGTGGGTGCAGCAGGCCCGGGTCCCGAATCTCGGCGGCCGCTGCTCGAGCGCGGCCTGCGCCATGGCCACCTCCGCCGCCTCCTCGGAGCATTTCGAGAAGCTGCACGAGATCTTCCGCGGCCTCCATGAAGACCTCCGGGGGGTGCCGGAGCGGCTCCTGGGGACCGGGGGCACAGGTGAGGCGGGGGGGGGGGGGGGCGGGGACTGGGGGACAGGTGAACGGGGCGGGCCGGGGGACAGATGAGGCGGGGGCGGGCCGGGGGGACAGGTGAGCGGGGCGGGGCGGGGACCGGGGGGACAGGTGAGCGGGGCGGGGCGGGGACCGGGGGGACAGGTGAGCGGGGCGGGGCGGGGACCGGGGGGACAGGTGAGCGGGGCGGGGCGGGGACCGGGGGGACAGGTGAGCGGGGCGGGGCGGGGACCGGGGGAACAGGTGAGCGGGGCGGGGACGGGGGGGGGGGGCGGGACGGACAGGTGAGGCTGGGCCCTGGGAACTCGGCCCGCTGCAGTGGGAGGAGAAGCCCCCACCCTCTTCCCAGACCCGAGCCCTGGCTGCCCCCCTGGTCTCCCAACGCCCCCTCTAGGGCTGGCAGCTGGCGGGGCGCGCCCAGGACTGGCGCCCAGGACCTCCCCGTCCAAGTAGGGTGCTCAGTGGTGGACCTCGGAGTGTCGTTTCCTTGGGATTCTTCATCCTCCAAATTTTTCTCATCTCACTTTCACTGCGGCAAGAAAAGTATAGGAGACTTCAAAGATTCGGTTCTGTATTTCGGTAGAATTGATTGGCTTCTGTATTTTGTTTTATATATTTAAGTGGTTATTCTCAAAAGAGGTCCACAGTTTTCTGCAGACTGGCAAAGGATCCGTAGCACCAAAAGGGTTGAGAACATCCTAAGGAATCATAGTTTTGGGGGTTGGTCTTTAAAATCAGGATTGTGGCATGTAGGTGTGTGGTCCTCTTAGGAACTTTCTGCTAGACTGTGTCCTGCCCCATTATTTCAAAATTCAGGTTGCTGCAAGCTTGCCTGGAGGCGCTAGAGTTGTTCTGTTAAATCCTTAGGAAGCATAGTTCTTTGTCTGGTGGATAAGTTCAGGGCTCAGAGTTTGTGTTAGCTATGTGAGTTATCCAAAGTCATATGAATTGAATGGTGAGAGTGAAATTCATACATTTGTTTAACTTGTATTTATTGGGAGCGGTTATTGGGTGCCCAGTTCTGCTACAGATGCTGTTAATAATGCAAATTGCAGTGAAAAGATTTACAATCCCTGTTTTAGTGGGCTGCTGATAATATGTAAATACTAGAGGCCTGGTGCACAAGATTTGTGCACTGTGGGGCAGGGGGGGCGGGGGGTGGGGGTGGGCGGGGAGAGGTCCCTCAGCTGGGCCTGCTCCCTCTGCAGTCTGGGGCTCCTTGTGGGCAGTGGGACATCCATAGCTTTGCTGCGAAGGCAGGCTCCTGCCACTGCCCCTGCACTTGCCAGCTGTGAGCCCGGCTTCTGGCTGAGCTGCTCCCCCTGTGGGAGCCCACTGACCACCAGAGGGCAGCTCCTGTGTTGAGCATTTGCCCCCTGGTGGTCAGTGCGTGTCATAGCGTCATAGCTCAGTCTTTCTGCCATTAGGTCGATTTGCATATTAGCCTTTTATTAGATAGGCTAGGATAGGCTGAAGAGACCCTGTTAAGAGCAACACAGGCATACCTCGTTTTATTGCAGTTCTCCTGTTGTGTTTACCAGGTGACAGCATGCCAGCACTCCCTTCATCCTTTCTGCCATGTCCAAGTACCAATTTTACTATTACTTAATTGCTTTCTTTCTTTTTTAATATATTTTATTGATTTTTTACAGAGAGGAAGGGAGAAGGATAGAGAGTTAGAAACATCGATGAGAGAGAAACATCGATCAGCTGCCTCCTGCACACCCCCTACTGGGGATGTGCCCGCAACCAAGGTACATGCCCTTGACCAGAATCGAACCTGGGACCCTTGAGTCCATAGGCCGATGCTCTATCCACTGAGCCAAACCAGTCAGGGCATAATTGCTTTCTTTATATCAACTTATTTCATGTAAAATACATTTTTTAATACATGAAGTTATTTAAAATGGAATTTTATATCACTATTTTAAATGGGAAATCTGTAGAACCTATCTAAATGGTCAGAAAAATACAAGAAGGCAAAACAATGCTGTTTTAGTTTGATGTCAATTGCTCTGAAGTTGAAGCCTCTAATTAAAGACATACTAGCACCAAAAGACATGATATGAAGGATTGAAAGAGAAACAGAAGGGGTGGCTTTCTCACTGAGTCAGTTCCATGCCCCCACCAGTGGGTATGGCAGAGAAACAAGTGCTACAGCGTGCAGCTTCCCCAGTGAGCAGAATATGTGGGCTTTTCATTTGTTTTGCAGAAAAGGAGTGGATGAGGGTTAAATAGAGAAGTGCTTTAGGGTGTGCGTGAAGGTGGGAACCCGGATTTCAGAACCAGTATGGTTAAGCATTCTCATTGATGATAGTGTGTCTGGTCTCTCTCTCAGGATTGGGGGAGGTGGGGTAACAGTGATTAACTTAGACCTATAATGCTTCTTAATAGGGACACTATTAGCCTTTGGGGCCAGGTCATTGCTATGCAGGACTGTCCCAAGCACGGATATTCTTGTTCCCTAGGCACTAACTAAATGCCAGCCCTGATGCTCTCCCTTCCCCCTAGTCATTGTCATAACAAGTTCCCATACTTTTCTAAATGCCTTTTAGAAGTGATTAGGAACTATTACCCCCAACAAGGAAGGAATGGGGAGTTTATTCTACTCAGAGGGAATGGGATCTACAAATGTATGGAAGCAGGACTGAGCGTTTGAAACTGGTCTTATCTTTTCCAGAAGAGAAGAAGAAATTGATCAGAGATTTTGATGAAAAGCAGCAAGAAGCAAATGAAACGGTGAGAACAGAGAACAGGTCTTGTTTCTTTTATCTGGTGTTCATCTTTTTCAAAACGAATGCTTATGACCTGATCACCGATTAATTGTTCCTGCTTATTGATCCTGATTTTGATTATTTTTTACTAAATGAGACCAATTGATGGGGATGGGTGTTGGGGGTAGGTGTTAACAAACACAAATGGGTAAAGCTAGAAGACTGTCCCAAAGTGAGGCTTTGATAATACATTAAAAAAAAGATGTCCACCAGGATCATTCATTTTCTTTGTTAAACTTACTGTCACAAAATGTAGCTCCCAGGTGGTTCTAAGTCACTTTCCCTTCTGTTTTAAAAGATAACATTGTGACTGGATTTGGCATCTTGGGTAAGACATGCAAGGACGGGATGAGTTCTCAATCATAACCCAAAGCTGTCAGACGTTTTTAAACCAGAGAACTTCCTTCTTGCTTGAAGAACAACTTCCCTATTCCAGGGAAGTTCTGAGAAGTTAAGTTTATCTGCATCCTTTTCTCTGTTGTACATCTATTTTAAGAAGGATCAGACTGTGGAACCTATCTCCTTCATAATGGGACTACTAGAAACTTTTCTTTTCCAAACATATTTTTACTGATTTCAGAGAGGAAGGGAGACGGAAAGAGAAAAAGAAACATCAATGAAGATAATCATTAATCGGCTGCCTCCTGCACACCCCACACTGGGGATTGAGCCCACAACCCAGGCATATACCCTGACCGGGAATCGAACCATGACCTCCCTGTTCATAGGTCAACATTCAACCACTGAGCCACGCTGGCTGAGCTAGAAACTTTTCTTTTTTTTTTAAAATATATTTTATTGATTTTTTACAGAGAGGAAGGGAGAGAGATAGAGAGTTAGAAACATCGATGAGAGAGAAACATCGATCAGCTGCCTCCTGCACATCTCCCACTGGGAATATGCCCGCAACCCAGGTATATGCCCTTGACCGGAATCGAACCTGGGACCTTTCAGTCCGCAGGCCGATGCTCTATCCACTGAGCCAAACCGGTTTCGGCTAGAAACTTTTCTTAATACCTGAGTATAGATGGGCATATTCATGGCACCTGTTACAGAGCCAGTCTTCTGTTTTGGTTAACATCTTGGTAGCATTTAAAAAATCTTTTAGCTTACACCGATTTATTTGTTTGGTGCTTTCTTTCTTTGAACTTAGCAAAAGTAACCCATCCTAGGTAGATGAAAATAATTTATGTCCTCTTGAGAACATATTCAGGCTTTATATTTTACTTATCCCAAACAGATGGAAATCTCTGACATGGAGACCATTGATTTTCAGAAAGAGGAGGAGGAAGGGAAGAACCTTGATGCCAGATCCGTATCATTTTTGTACAGTAGACCTCAAAGTGCTTCATGATGGCACCTGAACCAAAACAGGCTAAGAACTCATTATTCTAAAAAGAGAACTTGAAGATTGTGAATTCTGACTTCTCTTTTTGTGTAATCTTGAGGTTTTTCCAGGTCTTTTTTTTTTTTTTCTCACCCGAGGATATTTTTTCCATTGATTTTTAGAGAGCATGGAAGGGAGGGTGGAGGGGGAGAAAGAGAGAAAGACATCAACATGAGAGAGACATTGATTGGTTGCCTCCTGCATGTGCCCCAACCAGGGCAGGGGATTGAACATGCAACCGAGGTACGTGGACGCCCTTGACTGGGAATCGAACTCTCGACCCTTCAGTCTGCAGGCTGACGCTCTAACCACAGAGCAAATTGGCCAGGGCAGTTTTTTCAAGTCTTATATATGAAATAGAAATAATATTTCCTGCCTTGTTGATTTGCTGTGAGGATTAAATGAATGCATATAAAAATGTTTAATAAGCTGTAGGTACTTGTTCATTTTTTCACTCATTCATCACATACTTTTTGAATACCTGTTCTGTGCTTGATAGGCACTGGGCAGACATCGGAGCAGCGGAGTGAGTGTGTCATGTGGTCCCTGCCCCTGTGGAGCATATCATTGAGTGATTATTTTGGGTTGTCTGGAGTTGGATTAGTCCAAACTAGGGAATGTCAAGATGAAACAGAAAAGAACCAGGCTGTCCACTCACTATTGTCTGCCTTCCTAGCTGGCAGAGATGGAAGAGGAACTACGTTATGCACCCCTGTCTTTTCGTAACCCTATGATGTCTAAGCTTCGAAACTACCGGAAGGACCTTGCCAAACTCCACAGGGAAGTGAGAAGCACGCCTTTGACAGCCACACCCGGGGGCCGAGGAGACATGAAATATGGCACATACACTGTAGAGAATGAGCATTTGGTAAGCTTCAGCTGTTTTTTCCCCCTTTGGGCCTGTGTATAAGAATTAACCATATTGTGGAGTGCAGTTCATGTTACAGTGTATACTACACGACACTTGTTCCCCCACCGTCCTCTTTCCTGCATCCAGCTCCCCTTTTCTTGGGTATTTACCCTACTGTATTTAATGCATATCTTTCCAAACCACATACTTATTTACTTTTCTTTGTATCCTTTATATGTAAAACAGTGCTTGGTATGTAGTGGTGGTAGGCAAGTGTTACCTAATCTTATTATATCTGAACTCTGTATTCTGACCCATTGATCCAGTTTCTTTCTCACATATGCCAAAAATTCATTTAGATTTTTAATTTATCAGAGTATTGTTACAAAATTAACACAAGCTTTCTTTTACATTTATATGATGACCCAGTAGCCCAGATACAGTAGAGAAGGCAGGATGCTTAAGAAGGGGCTAATACCTTGCTGTCTTGTAATAGAAAGTGAGCCAGATTGCCTCTTGCCTCAGTATTCTGATTTATAAAGTTAGACTGACTGGGTAGAAAAATCTATATTCTGAAACTCTAGAGAAGCTAGAGAGTTAAAGGAATAAAACTTCACAAAGCTTAAACTTAATGGGTTACTTTTGGGGTTGTATTCCATAATGCAAAGTTGAAATGGCCTGGCAAGTAGCATAGGAAAGAAATGGAAGTGCAGATTGCACATATGTAGAAAAGCTGATAATACCATTTTAAACAAATCCCATTTCATGATGCATCCTTATTATAATTGAAGAGACGTTCAGATGCTGCTAGCCTGACATTGCCGATGTCAAAACTAGAGTATTTGAGAATGGTGTAAAATTTTAAAGTTCACTTGTGAAGGGAGGGACTGGGAAAAGGCAGACAAGGCAGGTGGAGCTTGTTAGAGCAGTGGTTCTCAACCTTGGCTGCACATTAGAATCACCTGGGAATCTTTTTAAACTCCTCGGAGGATGAGGCCCAGAAATCAGGATTTTAAAAAGATTCCCAGGTGATTCTAATGTGCAGCCAAGGTTGAGAACCACTATGTTAGAGATGAGAGGTGAAAGTGACTTTGGTCATTTATTATACACACACACACACACACCCAAAACAAAAAAGGGGGAGATCAGTCTAGAGATAATTTTGCTTTAAAATGATCAGTTTCAGAAATTAGAAACACAATTTAGATATATACCACTTTCAGTAGAATTATTATTCCAAATCTGAGATTGATTTATGTAATCTTACTATCTTTTCCTGTTCTTTCTCAACCTAATCAGTTGAAAACCCCCATCTTTTATTTTTAAAAAGTGTTATTCCTGCTTCGTTTAAGCTAAAGTAGGTGGGGTTTAGTTCAACCTCATTCAGTAGTTTCCTCATCCACTGGTCCATATAACATGTATGAGGAATTCTTGTTACTTCTGATCTGGGAACCTGTTTTCGGCTGCCTTTTTTTTTTCAATGTTTATAGATTAGAGAGGGTGGGAGGAAGGACATCGATGTGAGAGAGAAACATCAACTGATTGCCTCCTGAGGATTGAGTCTGCAAGCTAGGTATGTGCCCTGACTGGGGATTGAACCCATGACCTTTTGGTTTACGGGACGATGCTCCAACCGAGCCACACCAACCAGGGCCCATTTTTGACTTCTTGATGGTGGTGTGTCGTGCTCAGTAATATGCCCTGTGAACTGGCCCCTTTTTTAATGTGTGTGTGTGTGTGTGTACATGTATGCTTTTAAAAATATGTTATTTACTTTAAAATAATATTTTTAATTTTAATATGTTTAGTAATTTAATATTGTATTTATAGTTTTGAGAGAGAGCGATCTATCCATTGTTTCAGTTATTTATGCATTCATTGGTTGACCCTGTATGTGCCCTGACCAGGATTAAACCCAAAACCTTGGCGTATTGGGACGATGCTCTAACCAACTGAGCTACCTGGCCATAGCTAAGAACTAGAGCTACACCCATTTCTGTCAGTGGTTAATTCTGGCCTGACAAAGGCTACTTCTTTCCTCATGTCTTCTGTGCTTAGGATTATAGGTGGAGTAAAACTTTGGTGGGGATTTAGAAAATTAGGGCACTTGGGAAATTAGGGCAGCTAGGCCATCTTACTCGGCCCTAAATACCTTCTTCCCTGAGAGCAAATCACCAGTGTGGCCACTTAAGTTTTTTCAGAGTTTTTGTTTTCTGTTTGTCTTGAAGTGAAATTCTTTGGAGGCTTACCAAGAGTGTGGCCACTTAAGTTTTTCTTCCAGCATGTGGCAGTGTCCCACCCAGACTTCTAATTGATTTCTGTATGAACTGAAAATGATTAGCTTTTGCATGGTCCCTTAATCCTCAGTATCAATCAGGTAGGAATCTTCGGTGAATTAATATGTTCTAGGGCTGTAGAGTTTAGTTGGCTTGGTTGCTGCCCATCAGTTATAAGCTATCATTTTCAGGTAGCTCCTGCACCCCAAATCTGGGCCACTGCTTCTCAGAAGTTGCTAGTTCAGGAAGCGCATGAACCAGTTCAAATTCATTACAAACAGGGAACATGCTCTGATGTTTTTAATCCTCCTTGCCTTGCCTCACTTAAGTGTAACAAGCAGTGCAGTGAGAGGCATTGTGATCCTGATTGGATTCCAAGTTCTGCTTTAGCCTGACCTTGAATAGGATCTTAGAGTTCATTACCATCCTTGTATGTCTTAAAGAAAATTAGCCTAGCCAGCATGGCTCAAGGGTTGAGTGTCAACCTATGAACCAGGAAGTCACTGTTTGATTCCTAGTCAGGGCACATGCCCAGGTTTTGGGCTCAGTCCCCAGTAGGTGGCATGGAGGCAGCCAAACAGTAAAAATATATTTAAAAAATAATAGTAATGAAAATTAGTCCTGGCCAATGTGACTCGGTTGGTTGAGTGTCCTCTACACCAAGAGGTCACTGGTTCAATTCCTGGTCAGGGCACATGCCCAGGTTTCAGCCCAGGAGAGGGCATGCAGGAGAGAGCCAATTGCTGTTTTTCTCTCATCGGTGTTTCCCTGCTTCTCTCTCTAAAATCAATAAAAATTTATTTTAAAAAATAATGAAAATTATTGCATACTATATCCCTTCTTACATAAGAGTGTTCATAAGGATTGTGTTGGCAATTACTTTATAGTGGAAGAACTTCAACATTTCTCTTTCGTAATCCTGTCAGAATCAGCTACAGTCTCAGAGGGTATTGCTTTTGCAAGGCACTGACAGCCTGAACCGGGCCACCCAGAGTATTGAGCGTTCTCATCGGATTGCCACAGAAACTGACCAGATTGGCTCGGAAATTATAGAAGAGCTGGGGGAGCAACGTGACCAGTTGGAACGCACCAAAAATAGAGTAAGTGGGGGCAAATGAGGAAAGGGGCAAGAGTCAGTAAAGTAGGTGGGCCCATTAAACCCTGATGGCATGCTCCTCCCCAGAGCTTCAGCAATTCTGAATTCAGAGTAAATGGCCTTTTAGGGCCTTATGCTTTTCTCAGTTTCTAGTTTGCATGGCTGAGAGATCTCCCTTGGAAGTAATTTTAACTCTAAGATTTAGAGATCATTGGAGGGGAAAAAAGAAACTTGGATTTCTGCATTTATTGAAGATTGTCAAATAAACATAAGATTGCAGCCACTCCATCCTTTTATTCCTGTATTACCACTCTGAGGTTTTGATTTCTCTTACATCTAGTGGGATATTCTGCTATTCTTATGAAAGTATCATCTCACAAGATCCTAGCTTTCCTGTCATTTAGAACCAAGGCTATTTTCCACATGTCATAAAATAGTACCACTGACAATTTATAGAGGTTCAATCCTGGACTGTAACTCTGTACTGTTACCTGAGGTAAGCTGGATACTTGTGGGAAGCAAATGGAAATAGGCCAATGATGGCTGTATTGGGGCCTCTAATCTATCACTCTAAAAGACTCTGAAAACTAACATTCCTTTCCATACATCTGCATGGAAATTCTGAAAATAGTACGACTTGCCAATGGAATGCTGTGCCCTTAATAGCATGAGGCAAATCCAGACTAAAAAACAGATACTGTGGGCAAGACTTAAATGGGAAAATATGGTTCAATGTGTGGGTTTGAGATAATTTTCTCATATATCTTAATAGCCGTAATTCTCCATTCTTACAATGAGTCGGAATGATGCCCTTCCCTCTGTAAAAATTCACAATAAAGTACTAAATTTAAGGTAAACTCTAGAAAAGGTAGCTTGCTTACAGATTGTTTTGATTTTTCACTTTTGTACATACCAGGTGAATTGGCTGAATTCAAAAGCCAAGGAATGGCCCGAGAGATCAACTTACCAAGGCCACTGGGGATTGGAGACAGATGGCAGGTGGCATCTGTTGAAATATCCTCCAGCTGTTAGATTAGTACCAGGCAAGCAAGAGGGAAAGGGTTTGTTTTTGTTTTTTGTTTTGTTTTTTTAAAAAAGGCTTAATTCCTTTCACAATTCAATGTAAGTATCTCTTAAAGGGATAAAGAAAAAATAACCATACCCCAAGAATGGTAATCCACCAGCCTATGAAAACAAACTGGAACTCAAGAGGCTCTCCTGGAGTTAGACTGGTGAAATTCAAATCTTAAATTGCTTCAGTTACTGGCAGGGTGTACACTTGAAGCCTTTCTGTTTTGAGTAGCCAGGCATGAGCTCTTGTCCCAGAAGTCCCTCACACAGCCTTGGGATATAATTCCTAAACCTACTTGACAAGTACTAAAGTATCTTGTCCTCTCCAGTTTCTTCTAATTATACTCAGAGGCCATCTTTTAAATTGGTTTGATTTCAACATATCCTTCTTAATGCCCACTGTCAGTTTAGGAGTGTTCACATTCTAGAGTGTATACTTTTGAAAGAAGGGGAAAATAATTGCTATTTTCTCTTCTCAGCTGGTAAACACAAATGAAAACTTGAGCAAAAGTCGAAAGATTCTCCGGTCAATGTCCAGAAAGTAAGTTTTAGAAATAGTCACAAAATTAATTTCTCTTAACTCTCATGCCTTTCAACCAAGAGTGTAAAAGCTTTAAACTGTGACTTGCAAAGGTGAGATTCTAATAAAGCTGAAGAAATAAAGAATATTGTCTTGTGTATTTAAATATCCCAAGACAAAATCTTTTGTTAAAAGTATATGCTGCTCTGATTTGGAACTGTGTAAAATTTGTCCACTGAAAGCATATGTATATATGAAAGGGAGAGAGAAACATAAATGATGAGAGTCATTGATCCGCTGCCTCCTGCATGCCCTGTAGACAGCAACCAGGCATCAAACTGTGACCTCCTGGTTCATAGGTTGACACTCAACCACTGAGCCACACTGGATGGGCCACTGAAAGTACGTTTATTCCCAGCTTACATTCCTTAGAGAAAACAGCACATGGGAGTAATACAGCTTCATATTCGTAAAAACTTGATTAAAAAACTATTTTCACTGCTACCGCTTAATGCTCGCTTTTGGCTCTGCTTGCTCTTCGTCAGAGTCAATCCCTTACCTGGGAATTCTGTCTTGTTAGCAAAAAGTTGTTTAAAAATCCTTGATGTACGTGCTGACAACAAAATGAATTTGGGGTAAGTGGTAGTGTGCATGGATCAAAATCACAACTGAGTCATGGAATTATCAGGAGAGTGAGATTTTCCTAAACAGTTGTAAATTCCTTATGGAATAGGGGGAAACCTTCAGTTTAGAGTGAACATGAGAACCAGAGATTGGATTCTTTGTATTAACAAAAGACAGTAGATTTTTCTTTGAAGCTCCTATATTGCCTTTGTAGAGAAACCCTGGAGGAAAGAGAAAGTAAGAGAGGTACTACCCAGCTTCTGGTTACTTAGCACCTGTCCCCAGCTGCACGTCAGCCCTCGCGAGTCTGCCACAAATCCTTTTCTAACATATGCTCACAACTGTAGTTTGTAACTGATACGGCTCTATATGATCAGATGATACTGTGTTACTGCTAATTTTGTAACATGATTCAACCGGATTTCAGAATAGGTATTTCTTTCATATTATATTTAATACTATTTTCCTAACTAGGCCCTCCTGGAAAAGCTAGTTCTAAAGTGAAGTAGCAGCCCTGGTCGAGTGGCTCGGTTGGTTGGAGCATCATCCTGCACACCAGAAGGTTGCGTGGTTTGATCCCTGGTTGGGTTGCGTTATGGGAAGCAACCTCTCACATTGATGTTTCTCTCTCCCCCTTCCTCTCTCAAGTCAATAAAAACATGTCCTCAGGTGAGGTTTTAAAAAAATAAAGTGAGGAAGTAACTACTATTTGAAGACATTTTTGAATAAAAAACCATTTATACCTTTGATATATATTGTCTCAGTTTTCAACATTTCTGGGAGGTAGATAGTGTTTTTTCTCTGTGATAGCTACAGAAGCTTTCGAGTTGTCACTTAACCAGCTAAAGAACCTTATACTGGCATACCTGGAGTTATTGTGCTTTGCAGATACTGCGTTGTTTTTTGTTTTTTGTTTTTACAAATTGAAGGTTTGTGTCAAGCAATTTATCAGTGCCATTTTCCAATAAGCTCATTTTTAAATTAAGGTATGCATGTGTTGTTGTTGTTTTTTTAGATATAATGCTATTGCACACTTACTAGCCTATAGTCTAGTGTAAACATAACTTATATGCATCGGGAAACAAAAAAAATTTATGTGACTTGCTTTGTTACTGTATTCGCTTTATTGCAGTGGTCTGGAATCAAACCCGCAATATTTTTGTGGTATGCCTGTGTATACTTATTGCTAAGTGGCTATGAGATCAAACAAAAATTCAGTCTACCTCACAGTGTCTAGCCTTGGTCCCAAGTCAAACCTTAATGTATTGAGAATGGAAAGAGCCCAGCTGGCATGGCTCAGTGGTTGAGCACTGATCTATGAACCAGGAGGTCACGGTTCGATTCCCCGTCAGAGCACATGCCTGGGTTGTGGGCTTAGATCCCCTGTGTGGGGCGTGCAGGAGGCAGCTGATAAATGATTCTCTCTCGTCATTGATGTTTCTATTTCTCTCTCCCTATCCCTTCCTCTCTGAAATAAAAAATATATTTAAAAAAAAAGAATGGAAAGAAATAAGGTTATACAGACTTCTGACTGCTCACTTGTTTGTGTTTGTAGAGTGACAACCAACAAGCTGCTACTTTCCATTGTCATCTTACTGGAGTTAGCCATCCTGGGAGGCCTGGTTTATTACAAATTCTTTCGCAAGCATTGAACTTCCTGCACGGAAGGGTTTGTGGACCAGAACTTTGACCCTGAGAATGAATAGTGTTACAGATGTGGAATAAGTATTGCTGCTGTGAGCTAACGGTTCAAGGATGCACTGTGTAGCCAGACTGTGGGAAGAGGGAGGGAAGATGGAAAACCAGTTAATGTGAAGAAACAGCAGCAAGACCAGTGTGATATACCAAGGTAATAAATGCTGTTTATGACTTCTTTAAATTTACATGGTACTCCAACATATTTATACCCTGTGAATTGCAAAAAAAACCCCAAATACATTTACAGTAGTATCATTGGTCACCAAAATGGAGAGGGAAAGGAAATTTTACAATTGTGAGAATACGCAAATGTTCTCATTAAGGCAGTATTGACCCAGATGACCATGTAGTATCTGCCACCTTAAACACCTCACAACTCTGGAATGCCCATTGTGACGAACGTGTCAGCATACAGTATTTCCTAAATTCTCACACGTTCTTCACTTTCTGATTCATGTGGTGAACTGGGAGTAGGAAGTTGGTCATAGACATTGTGCCCTCCTTCCCTTGTCTGACCAAAACTTGACGCAATCACATCCACTGCCAGGCCAGCGGTAGCCTTGGCTTCTTCGTCTGAAGCAGCCAGCTGAGGATTAACTTCAACAAGATCCAGTGCCGACAGCAACCCTAAAAGAACAAAGTTTGACAAAACCTCAGAAAATCCCTTAGCTGCTGCTTTCAGTGAGGGTCGTACCACCTGGACAGAATAAACCAAGGTAAAAAACCAACCATTTTCTACTATAATATCCACTGTCAGGAAGCCCCTTATACCTCAGTCTCTTGGGCCTGAATTTATTTATTTTTATTTTTTAAATATATTGATTTTTTTACAGAGAGGAAGAAAGAGGAATAGAGAGTTAGAAACATGGATGAGAGAGAAACATTGATCAGCTGCCTCCTGCACACTCCCCACTGGGGATGTGCCCACAACCAAGGTACATGCCCTTGACCAGAATTGAACCCGGGACCCTTGAGTCCACAGGCTGACACTCTATCCACTGAGCCAAACCGGTCAGGGCCTGAATTTATTTTTAAAACACTGTTATATTGCCCTGGCCAGTGTGGTTGGGCATTGTCCCATGCACCAAGAGTTCACCAGTTCAATTCCCCATCAGGGCACATGCCCACGTTGCAGGCTCAATCCCCAATAGGGGGCATGCAGGAGGCAGCTGATCGGTTTCTTCCTTTCTCAAATCAATAAAAACACGCACACATACACACACGCACATACCAGCCCTGACCAGCGTGCTTGGTGGTTAAAGCATCGATCAGCCTGTGAACCAAAGTGTCACAGGTTCAATTTTTTCAAGATTTATCTGAACAAACTAGTATTCGAGAATACAAGTATCTGAGAATATTTAGAGTGGCCATAAAGCCTGGAAACATGAGTGAATATTGCTAATGGTTTATTGGTATTATATTATAGTACACTAGAGGCCAGGTGCACGAATTCATGTACCAGCGGGGTCCCTCAGCCTGGCCTGCGGGATTGGGCCAAAACCGGCTCTCTTACATCCCCCAAGGGGTCCCGGATTGCGAGAGGGCACAGGCCAAGCTGAGGGACCCCACTGGTGCACAATTGAGGCCAGGGAGGGACGTGGGAGGTTGGCCAGCCAGGGAGGGACAGCAGGAAGGCTCCAGGGCGTGTTCGGCCCTTTATCGCTCAGTCTGGATCAGCCAGACTCCAGCAGCAAGCTGATCCACCAGTCAGAGCGTCTGCCCCCTCATGGTCAGTGCACATCATAGCAAGCAGTTGAGCGGCCTTAGCATATCATTAACATATTACACTTTGGTTGGTTGAACAGCTGACCGGACAACTGGACACTTAGCATATTAGACTTTTATTATATAGCATGATATGCTCATTGCCAGGACAACTGTTCAGTGTGCCATCCCTTGTTAATAATGCATAGTTCAGTGCACTGTGCAAAACTTCGGTACCACTTCTACCAGTTCCTGCACATGCATCTGCATCTCCGATAATTTGTGTGTCTGAATTCCACCGACTAAAGCTGGGCCTTCAGCAGAGCCCAGAAGTAATCAAGAGGGTTTGAGCTCTTAAATATATATATATATTACCCATGGTTTTATATTATTGCCACCCTGTAAATTATTTAAGCAAACTCTTTTATGTGTTGAATTGACAGTGTGATGATAGACAGTCGTTTAGAATAGAGTAACACTGCAACAGGAGAGAGAGGGTCAAGGTATGACCACTACCCCTTCTAAGTACTAGCTGTTACTAAGCCCTGGCTCTGGTGGTGTCACTGGGAACCAAAATGGAGGATTGAACTCCCAGGTTCACTTGCCACCAACCCAAGGACGATTAACGTCTAAGATTGTGGGCCTGAGAATGAGACTACCTTGCTTCTGTCAGATCTGATAGATAAGTATTATTTTCCTTTCTGTAGTGCCTAAGAGTCTAGTTGGCTCCAGAGCCAGGGAGACCATTTCTCAATTCCCACATCTATCCCAGCTGGTCAAGGGTTTCCTATAGCCCTGGCTGGACCTTTCAGTCTGGGGTCTTTATGCTGTTTAGACCCTAATTTCATGAGATGATATTGAAGTATCCTGCGGAAGTTTAAATTTTGCAATTAAAGGTCATTTAAAGTAGCCTTAAAACTAAGAAGCTTTCAGACAAATGGAAACAGCTACCCTGACTGACGCTGCTCAGTGGTTAGGGCATTAGCCTGCGCACCAAAGGGTCTCGGGTTCAATTCCTAGTCAAGGGCATGTACCTGGGTTGCAGGTTTGATTCCCTCAACCCCCCTTTGGGATGCGCATAGGAGGCAACTAATCGATGTGTCTCTCACATCAATGTTTCTCTTTCTCTCTTCCTCTCCCTCCCTCCTTTCTACTCTGAAAAGCAATGGAAAAAAATATTCTCAGGTGAGGATTAACAAAACAAAAAAATTTTATTTTTCAAAGAAAGAAACTGTAGACAAATATGAGTTTTGGGACAGCAACTCCTTGGTAGCCACTCTCAATAACCTAGCATTCATTTTATTAATCTTTCTGTCAACCATTCATTTTCCACTATTCCTGTATTAAAGCTCCTATTAAATAAGCTCCAGTATAAGACTTGCCCTACATGTAGCTTTGAAATATCTCCAAGAGAAGCTTTAACTCCACATTCCCAACTCCAGGCGAACCAACTTCTTAATTTAAGGTAAAAATTATAGCTGGTGTTGAGTTTTAATCTTATCTGCCTTTGGACAGTTCAGATGCAAAGAACTGCATTAGTTTGGCAGGTTATTCTTGTGTCTAATAAATGTTTAAGACGACAACTTTTTATTCAGTATTACCATATTTTGGTATGAACCAGATGCAAACATGCCTCTAAATGACTATCCCTTATTAGCCTAACCACATGACTTTTAGCAATAACCAGGTTAGGCAAAAACAATGTCTACAATGACATGAATAATAGAAAAGATTCCCCTGGCAGACAAGAGGCTTCACCATAATTACCTATGTAGTGAACAGGTTAATCACTACTTACCTGTGTTGTGTATTTCCTCAGTAATATACATGCCTTCCCGATAGGTCAGTCCCCCTACAACAGGAGTTCCTGTGGCTGGAGCCAGTGTAGGGTCAAATGCATCAATATCAAAGCTCAGATGGATTGGCCTTTGTCTTCTTGAAAGGAGAAGGATAAGAGAATAGTCATTTGTGCCTGAACATTCATGCTCCCTGCAGATGCAACTTGCTGATTTTGTTGCTGTTAGTCCTGGTATTTTGTTAATGCATCAGATTTCCAGGTTTTCTATTTTAGAAGTTACTAGAGTATTTGCCTATTAGTGTTTATACTCCATTTCATAATTTTTCCATGTTCTTTGTGCCTCAGACTAAATCCAGTTTATATTTCTGACTTACCCTGAGCATTAAATTAAAGCCTCTTAAATTAACAATTGTCAGTAGAGGGAATTCTTCACTTTCATATGACCTTGGGCCCTGATAGATTCTAATTTCATTTGTATTACATTTGCTTTTATTCTCTCAGAGTGTAACAGCCGCTGAACTTAACTGACTTTAGATTTGAAATCTTTTTTTAAAATACGTTTTTATTAATTTTAGAGAGAGGAAGGATAGGGGAAGGGAGAGAAAGAGAAACATCAATCAGCTGCCCCTTGCGCTCCCCCTACTGGGGATCAAGCCCACAACCTGGGCATGTGTCCTGACTGGGAGTCGAATTGGTGACCTCTTGGCACATGGGACAATGCTCAACCAACTGAGCCACAATGGCCAGGGCTAGATCTGCAATTTTATCATCTCCCAATTCTAACTTTAATTTATCCCAGGTGTCCAATGACTGAAACTAACATATAACACCTATATGCTAAACAACTAAATTTCTTAGTAGATGGCAGTTATAAAGACTCAGCACTGAGAAAATGCTCTTAAAACTAGCATTTGGGTTAGCATTCACCTGCCATCTTTATTCACTACCAAGTTTTGCTTATTATAAAACTTCTTTCAGTTGGCCCTGGCCAGTGTGGCTTGGTTGGAGCATCATCCTGTACACTGAAAGGTCACAGGTTTGATTCCTAGTCAGGGTACATACCCAGGTTTTGGGTTTGATCACCAGTTGGGGTATGTACAGGAGGCAACTGATCGACGTTTCTCACATCAATGTTTCTGTTTCTGTTTTTCTCTCTCTTCCTTTCCCTCCTCCCTTCCTCTCTCTAAAATAAACTGAAAGAGCATATCCTCAGATGAGGATTAAAACAAAACAAAAAACTCCATTCAGATGAAGAAATAGCGAGGCTAAGAAAAATGGGATAATTAGAACAATGAATGCTTCTCATCTCAAAAGATAAGCATTTAAATGGAGCTAAAGATAAACCCATGAGAAAGAGAATCTGGGCAATGATTTCAAGGAAACCCCCTCGCAACCCCAGAGGAAGAATATGACCTATGTTTCATATTCTCCCTTTCTAAATTATTTGAAATTTTTAAACGTACATGTTTTGCTTTTATTTGAAAGAAAAGCTACTATCCTCAAGAGAAAAGCTAAAGTATGCTGCCCCTGGGAGCTGCTGTATTACCCTGGGAACCTAGAGTAGACATCTGTTGTAGTTACTTACTTGCCAATCAGCAGATCGAATGTCTGTTCCATGACCTTCTGGATACCTAGTCTATCTATGTCTCTCATGGAAAAATACTGGATATCATAATTCTTTAAAATAAAACTGTAATGAGATATAAAGGAAGGAATTGTTAGTTTAAATAGCAAGTTAAATGCACATTTAGATGGGGTTTTGTCTTTACAGTGGTCTACAACAAGTTAAGGCAAGGAACAACATCAAATAAGTGGCCAGGATGGGCCCAAAGTTTATAATCCTATATCTCAACTTACTGTTCAGGAGGGTCCACATCTCTTAGACCAATATACACAATACTTGGGGAAGAGATACAAGGTTTGATCCAGGAAAATCCTGGGACCTGTGGCACCTATGTAGAGAGGAATGAACAGGATTCATTAAGGATTTTTGGTCTCGCCAAGAAAGTCACCATGTGCTTCCCATTACATGCAGTTTGCTTTGTCATCCATCTACAAAATATGCTTAAGCAACACAAGACACACTTGATCTGGGAAAGAAAATTGATACAAGTGGAAATGATTCAGAAAGGCAACTGAAGAACACAGTATAGCATTCTCAAGCAGAATAAAAATCTTTTCTCCTAAGGTGGTCTTGGTTTCTCATTAACTTACCTAAATAGCAGGAATACTGCTGATTAGCCCTTTTCATATTACTGAATTATTTACAGATTGGTTCTTGGAACATAACCCAGTTGTCATCTCAAGTTGCCAACAGCCAAAACATGAATTCTGCCTAATGAATAACCGTTGTTATTCCTGGTTTAACTTGGCCCCTCACTGAGGGGAGGGATAAACAGATTCTAGTCTATGCCTAGACTCCAGTGTCTTTTGCACAGCCTAGAAAAATATTACCTAGAGGTAATCATGGTTTTACTTGGATTCTATACCAATGCATCTGAAAGTGAGGCCTGGGAGCCTGTAACCAAGAAGTCCTCAAGCTGTGGGTGTATCAATCACTAGAGTTACCCAGTACCACCTTCCTTTCTTAGATGATTATAAACCCCCCAAGAGCAGGGACCATCTTTATATCCCTAGTCATGTTTATATTCCTAGCATCTAACAGACTGCCTGGCCCATAATAATGTTTGATGAACAAATGAAGGAGTTGTAAGCATTTCTACCACTGGCAACCCATCCTTCACAGAAATCTTACTGAACTGGACCCTCAAAGCCCCTGCAAGCCATTCGACTTTCTTTTCATCTTGGCCTACTGACCTTGTCCTGTAGTTCTCGGAGGAGAAATGAAACCGGCTGTCCATGGAGACATCCAGATGAAGTGGTGAGGGGTGTATTGATGTCAGCGTGGGCATCAACCCAGATCACACAAAGGTCTGGGCAGTGCCGGGCGTGGCCACTGATGGTACCAATTGCCAAGCTGTAAAGAACAAATATAGATGACCCTTGAACAACAGGTTTGAACTACATGGATTTCTTTCAATAAATACCTGTAACTATTTGTTTGTTTTGTTAAACATCCTTACCTCAGGGTCTTTTTTCCATTGATTTTCCAGAGAGTAGAAGCGGGGAGGGGAGGAGGGGGAGACACATGGATTGGTTGCCTTCCGCATGTACCCCAACTGGGGCCAGGGATCAAGTCTGCAACCGAGGTATGTGCCCTTGACCATAATCAAACCCAAGACCCTTCAGTCCACGGGTCGACGCTCTAACCACTGAAACAAACAGGCCAGGGCAAATAAGTACCATAACTATTTTCAATCCACTATTGGAAATCTGGGTGCAGAGGTCAACTATATGCATTGATCTATACCATTTTAGATAAGGGACTTGAGTATCCACTGATTTTGGTATTGGCGGGAGGGACTTGGAGCCAATCCTTTGCAGATACCAAGGGACAACTTAAGTTTTTGGTGAGTCAAACGTTGTATTTGGATTTTCAACGGTGCAGGGGGGGTTGGTGCCCTTAACCCCTGAGTTGTTCAAGGGTCACTAGTCTCCAATAATTTTCAAGGCCCTCTGCTTGGCAAACATCACCAATAACAAATATCCTCAGCCAATGCAGCTCATACTTTGTCCTCGGGGCAAAGTCAGGGGCCCAGACTAAAGCAGGATTTGGATGAGACAGAATCTACAGGGCTGAGGTTAAGTGAGTTAGATAGATAGGGAGAAATGGAAGGCTCTAAACGTTTAAAGCTGACCACTGGTTATCCCCTGCAGTGTGACAGACTGCCCCACATCCCTAAAATTTGATCCATTAGCCTTGACCCAGAAAGGGACCTTAATTTGTTCAAGAAGGAAATCCAGTTAAAGGATGTGGTCTATATGTGACAATTCATAAATGCCTCTTTAAGGGAAACCAGGGAGATCTAATCACTTTCAAAGAATTAGTTACATTAACTTTTTAAGGGTAAAAGTCAGCCTTACAGCTTTTAAAAATAAGTGATACTTTCTAAAATGAAAAATCAAAGTTAAGTCTTTAAAGTAACAGAGCAACCCAATTAAGACCTCTTTTAGAGCACTGAATAAAATACAAGTTTATTTGCCTGTTATATACATTAGTATGACATTCAAATATTGTTTCTGTTTTTGCCTTTCCTTATCCTTGGTATCTTCTTACATTAGCCCACTGTCCTGTCTCAGCTGTAAAAATATAGTGGATGAAATAGTGGTTGGAAAGCTTCCGATCTTCTGTAACCAAAGAATTTGACATAGATGGGAAATGCATCTTAAGCATCTTAGGAACTAACTGCAGTCATCCTTCTTGGTCAGGATAGCATGTGATAGCATTTTAACCTGCATGCCCCACGTAGGGCCTTTTTGAGGAATAGCATGGTCTAGTGCTAAAAGCAGTCGATTAAGTCAGAATGCTGTGTTGTTCCCCTCCTCCACCCCCCAGGAAGAGGTGTATGATCTAGGATAAGTCATCTAATTTCTCTAGACTTCACTTTCCTTTTCTAAAAGGCAGGGATACTGCCCTAACTGGTTTGGCTCAGTGGATAGAGCTTCGGCCTGCAGACTGAAGGGTCCCAGGTTCGATTCTGGTCAAGGGCATGTACCTTGGTTGCGGGCACATCCCCAGTAGGGGGTGTGCAGGAGGCAGCTGATCGATGTTTCTCTCTCATCGATGTTTCTAACTCTATCCCTTTCCCTTCCTCTCTGTAAAAAATAAAAATATATTAAAAAATAAAAATAAAAGGCAGGGATACTAATCTCAGTTTAAGTCAGAGTTGGTTTAATGATTAAGTCCATACTGTATGTTGTATATAAAAGGAGCAGAGTGACCCTAAAAATTCCTAGTCCTCGCCCTGGCCTGTGTTGCTCAGTTGTTAGAGGGTCAGAGCATTGGCCTTGTGCACCAAAGGGTCTCAGGTTCCACTCCTGGTCAAGGGCACATACCTGGGTTGCAGATTCGATCCCCCCCCCCCGCCCCCCCGCCCCCCCATCAAGATGCATGCAGGAGGCTACCAATTGATGAGTCTCTCTCACATTCATGCCCTACCCCCCCCCCCGCCCCCCCGTTCCTCCCTCCCTCCCTAAAAGTCAGTGGAAAAATATAAAATATCCTGGGGAATAACAAATGATTAACTGAGAATATATATGCAGTGCTTAATACTCCTAGTACTTTAATACCAACATTTTTTTTTCTTTCTAACAAAAACTTTCATTTCTTAGCTCCCCTGTGAAATTTGACTACTCTAGTCCAGACTGATCTCTGAAATTCTGTAGAATTTAATTTCTTTCATTGCATGCGTACTTTTTTCATCTAGGCCCAATAGGTCACAAGTTTCCCACAATCCCTTGAGAACACATCAGAACAGTGTTCAACACAGTACATGCAGATTCACTAAGAGAGGAAGAATCTATTGTGTCAGTCACCTAGGGTCAGTTACTGTGGAGATAGAGAATGCATTCATATGACAAGTGGGGAATTTGGAACAAACCTATGAGCAGAAATGCTTTAAAAAAAAGACCCAAAAAGTCCAGCCTATCCTTCCAATCCTCCCAATAGCCAAATGAAAGTTGTAAGACAGTTTCTTAAGAAAGCTTTCTAAGAGGTAAGCATGAAACACTGGACTGTGTCTAAAAGCTTTGCTTAGTTTACTTCTGAACTTGTCCTACTATATAAAAAAACTACATGTGCCTCCAGCAGCTCATAATCTTCGACATCAAAATGCTATTATGACCCTAGCTGGTTTTGCTCAGTGGATAGAGTGTCAGCCTGAGGACTTGATTCCGGGTTTGATTCCAGTCAAGGGCAGGTACCTTGGTTGCGTGCTTGATCCCCAGCCCTGGTCAGGGCATGTGGCCTGGTCAGGGCATGCGTGGGAGGCAACCAATCAATGGGTCTCTCTCTCACATTGATGTTTCTCTCTGTGTGTGTCTCCTCCTCTCTTCACTCTCTAAAAATAAATGGAAAAAAATATCCTTGGATGAGGATTCACACAAAAAATAAATAAAAATAAATAAATAAATGCTTATTTAAAAAAATGCTGTTATGCATTGTTAACTTGAAAAGTCAGCCAGATTTTCCCCCAGGAAAACGGGTTTCTTCAGGAACAACAGAATTGTAACCCCGAACATGTAACCGTGGCTGGCCACATGCAAGTTTACTAAAACAAAGGAGAGGGAATTCTTTTATAGAGGGGGAAAGAAGCTGGGAGGGCTGTTACAAAGAGTTCCTCCTGCTGTGCTTCAAGATCAGGAAGCACAGGGCATGACAGCTTTTACTTCTGGCCTCTCTATTTCATATGAGTTTCTGCTTATTTTTTTTCCATCATAACTTAAAAATTCTGAAGGGTAGTTTACTCAGGAAACTGAGACAAGCTAATTGATTAGCCCAAAGCACCATGCAATGTAGCCCCACCACCACCACTGGCTCCCAACTTACCTGTGGTCTCCTCCCACTGTGACACAGCTGTAGCCACCTGATACTGCTCTACTAACTACCTCAGCCAGTTCCTGGTTGGCGAGGCCCACCGAGCGAGGATTTGCTATCAGGTTGTTGTACAGATCATCTTTAGGGACTGGAGTGAAACTCAAATCTCCAAAGTCCTTCAGGTGGCAGCCTAGAAACAAGTGGAGGATGATAAGATTAATTGGAAATGGTTAATAAGATTAGTTGGAAATTCCAACTCTTACTGGCCTGGGCCACAAATAATAACTTGTGACAAAGTACACAACCTCATTTTGTCTCAGTAAAATTCAAAATGTAACATGACTGTCAGGATGACCTCCTAGCAATCCTGTGGGGTAGATTCCATCAGGAACACCGTTTTGCAGATGAAGAAGAGGTTTTGGAAAGTGAAGCCCAGAAATGTTAACTGACATTAACAATCATGAAATTTGGAGCAATTAAACCTCTATTCCAGAGTTATAGCATGGAAGTAAAATGCCAACAGGATTTAAAGAAAGTGAATGTCATAAACTAGGTCTCAAGGTCACACAGCTGCTAAGTGCCAGCCTCAGGAACAAATCCAGGCCATCTGCTCCCAAAGTTTGTATTCTTGAGTATGCAGTTGTATCCCAAAGAGTCCTCCTTTAATCTATATAAGCCTAAGCAACCCTTACGGCGCAACGACCAGAACGACCAGTTGCTATGATGTGCACTGACCACCAGGGGGCAGACACTCAATGCAGGAGCTGCCCCCTGGTGGTCAGTGTGCTCCCACAGGGGGAGCACCGCTCAGCCAGAAGCCGGGCTCAGGGCTGGCGAGCGCAGCGGCAGTGGCAGGAGCCTCTCCTGCCTCCGAGGCAGTGCTAAGGAGCAGCGAGCTGAGCGGTAAGGAGCGAGGGTTCCTGGACTGTGAGAGGGGATAGGCCTGGCTGAGGGACCCTCCACCTCCAGCGCATGAATTTCATGCACTGGGCCTCTCGTATATATATTGATTTCAGAGAGGAAGGGAGAGGGAGAGAGAGACAAACATCAATGATGAGAATCATGGATCGGCTATCTCCTACATGCCCCCTACTGGGGATCAAGCCCACAACCTGGATATGTGTCCTTGACCGGAATCGAACCTGGGACCCTTCGGTCGGTAGGCCGATGCTCTATCCACTGAGCCAAACCAGCTAGGGCCCAAAGAGTCCCTCTTGATTGCACCACTTTAAGAACTAGACAGTCCTCTCTGAAGAACCAACAAGATAGTGGACATGGAGCTGGAGCAGAAGCAAACCTTCCACGGTGTGCACCTTGACCAGCTGCTGGTCATGGCCTCTTAGCAGCTGTCACCGTGACACAGCTGCACAGCACCCAGCAGCAGAGACCGAAGCAGCATTTGAAGCCCCTGTACAAAGCCAACCAGGAGAGAGAAGCCAAGGTGAAGACACCTGCGGGACAGATCATCCTGCAGGAGACAGTGGACAGCATGGTGGGTGTCTCCAATGGCAAGACCTTCACCCAGGTGGGAATCCAGCCCAAGATGATTGGCACTACCTGGGCGAGTTCTGCACTGCCTACAAAGCCATGAAGCAAGGCTGGCCTGGCATTGGAGACACCCACTCCTGCTTCATCCACCTCAAGTAGCTTGTTCAGCCAATGACGGCACTGACTTCTCTTTAAAAAAAATAAGCAAAAAAGAACTAGTGATATATTTTGACAATAAGCTGTAACATTTCCCCACTAAAGTTTCACATATTTCAAAGAACTGGGATACTGGTCACTACACATTAATTTTTATCTTTGGTGTAAATACTAGTCTTTCCGTCTTAGCCATGTTTAGGATGAGGACTAAATAATCCAACTCTATCAGGAAGAAATCTGAATCACCAGAGAACAGAACGTTACCATAGATTGTATCCTTAAGGTCCTGCTTCTTAAACTGAAGTACACGTATGTTGGGGGAGGGGAAGTGGTCACAGGATAGACATCTTTTTTCTTTTTTAAAATATATTTTTATTGATTTCAGAGAGGCAGAGAGAGATAGAAACATCAGATGCGAGAGAATCATTGATCAGCTGCTTCCTGCACATCCCCTACTGCGGATCAAGCCCACAACCTGGGCATGTGCCCTGATTGGGAATCGAACCATGATCTCCTGGTTCACATAGGTTGATGCTCAACCACAAGCCACACTGGCTTGGCAGGATAGACTCTTAATATTTGCAGAAATTTGTGTTAAAGATTTGGATTGAGACCAGCATGGATCCATCTTTAATTTGTACAGTTTTGGATATTGCTTGAATCCAAAGCCAAACTACTGATAAATGTAAAAATTTGAGAAGCAGTGGCCTGTAACTCCAGCTTAACAGTGACCTGAAATATAAGATCAACCAAGGGATCACCACTAAAAGGGATACTGGAAGCAAAACAGAAAACCTTATCCTATTTTCAGTTAAAGGTAAGATGCACCTTCAGCTAGAATTCTGTGTGTCTTTGGTCACCGAATTTTAAAAAAATAATTATTTAAAAGGCCTAGAACTAGAGATGATCTGTACAACTAAATAGAAGAAAGGGGGAAGGTGTTGAAGTAGGAGGAGAAAAATATGATAACAGGTCAAAGACACTGGAAATCTCGAGAAAAAAAAGACCAAATAAAACATCTATAAAAATCTTTAAAATCAAGGGGAAAAAGCCATGCATAAAGTCATTATGCACTAAATCTCAAAATATGCAGGACACTTCAGATTTAAGAGAAATGAAGTTTTAACTAACTTTCAAATCAATATCAGGTCTTGCCATTGTTGACAACACAGTCGTGGGACAGGCAGATTTTGAATGGCAGCACCTACACTTGGATGCTTCTACTTCCACATCCTTGTTTATCTTAGCACCTCCTTAAACCGCATCAAGCATTCAGGTTCGTAGTAGGTTTAAGATATCAGGACATGTCTGGTGTTTTATATGAGGTGTATAATCTAATTAATAATGTTCATATGAAATAACTTTTGAAAACTACTTTTAACTCATTTAATCTTCACATGACCAAGAAGAAGTACATGGACATTAAAGCGATCAACCTGGTGGATAAGTGACAGAACTTGGGAACATTCAAGTCCAACCATGGAATCTAGGATGCAGAATCAGTGAAGTGTGACAGCAAACAGTACTTGACTATTACTTACTTATCAGAAGAACTTAGAAAGAACTGTGGAAAGCTTACAAAGGAGCCTAAAGAGAATTTGGTGGTCTTATAACAACACTCCAAGGAAGAGAGACTGAATTTCCTAAAAGGATTTTGGCCATTAAGTGTGTAACTGTGGAGTTGATCCCTAGATTAACTCACAGGCTGGATGGTCAGTTCTTCATGAGTATGCCACCCCATGTTCTCTGACTGCTTGTTCAGGGAACAGCCCTCTGGTTATTTACTTAGTTCCCCAGTTGCCCTCATATAAGCAAGAGGGCTTCCTGACAGTGGATCCCGAAAGGCTGCTGCTCACCACAATTACGCATACGCATTTGGGGTTATACATCATGGTTAGCTTGAGTCTCCGGGTCTGAGAGCCTGCTAAGCTCTGCAAGAGTTCTGTTCATGGATGGTCAGACCCCCCGAAGGGATTAATGTCTTGAGAGGCCCTACCTGAGTGGCCTACCCTATGGGACTCCCAACTCTGCTCTTTCATTTCCACAATCAGTTCCAGGTAAGAACTAGGGAAAATAAGTGCTAGAGGAGTGAAAGGAAATTCAGTGACAATTGGGGTGGTCAAGGAATGACTCCCACAACAAGTAAAGTTAGTACCAGCACTATTTTGCTAACTTCCGTTGTTTTCTTTCCTTACTGGCAATAGAAATTTTTTGTAAAATTGTTAAGGAAGTGCCTATGGGTGACAGTCCCCTATCCCACTCTCTAGGCTTGACTACTCTATCCTGGCAGACCTTTATGCATAAACATAATCTGTACCATTCTTTATTTTATTTTGTGTACTATTCTTTTAAATCAAGTTGTTAGAGTAGGCTAAACTGCTGTAATGAACCCTCCCCAAAATAATGGCTCAAACACAGTAAATTGGTTTCTTGCTCATTTAACATCCAGGTAGACATTCTAGGTCAGCAGGAGGCTTTCCTTCACACAGTGATTCAGAGATCAGGCTTCTTTCGCTTATGCCTCTGCCACGCCTAGGGTCCCAGGTTCAAGGCAGTGGGAGAGGAAGAAAACATTGAGAAGGCACACCTCTATGTTTAAAGGCCCTGGTCTAGAAGTGACACATCACTCCTGCTCACATGGCATTAGCCAGCAAGTACAGGTCTAAGCCATGTCCAGAAGATGATGAGAATGGATTTGGGCAGATAGCAAAATGAGTTCTTTTAAATTCTATTGCCATACCTTTTTGTTTTTTAAATATTTTTATTTATTTTTTTAGAGAGAGAGGAAGGGAGGAGACAGAGAGACATTGATGTGAGAGAGAAACATCAATCGGCTGCCTCCTGCACACCCCTCCCAACACCTCCTCCTGGGGATAGAGCCCATAACCTAGACATGTGCCTTGACAGGGAATTGAACCAGCACCCTTTCAGTGCATGGGATGATACTCAACCAACTGAGCCACACCTGCCTGAGCAGCTGCCATAGTCTTTAATAATTAAGAACTCAAATACTAAAGCTTATGTTGTAGATACTAACTATGGTAATCCTAACTATTCTTTTTTTTTTAAATATATTTTATTGATTTTTTACAGAGAGGAAGGGAGAGAGATAGAGAGTTAGAAACATCAATGAGAGAGAAACATCGATCAGCTGCCTCCTGCACATCTCCTACTGGGGATGTGCCCGCAACCCAGGTACATGCCCTTGTCCAGAATCGAACCTGGGACCTTTCAGTCCGCAAGCCGACGCTCTATCCACTGAGCCAAACCGGTTCCGGCGGTAATCCTAACTATTCTAATCATTGCAGAGCTGAATCAGTGAATATACTATGCCATCCTGCTATAGCCTCTTAGGAGCTTTCTCCTCTAACACCTACTGTTCCCATAGCATTGTAGCACCCAAAGGACTAGTGGAGTAGAGCACAGCATTACAGCATTAGTTTCTAAAGATGAATAAGGGCCTGAAAGAAGAACTGTACATTCCATGTTTGGAAAAACAGTTAAGCAATTTAATAGAAATGAGAAGTTTACATATTGGAGCAATGCAGTATGAGGTTGTAGAGAACATGATTTGCAACCCACAGGCCAGAGTTTCTGAGAAGTGGGGAGGCTGATGGGAAGTTATTTTTTTGTAAGAGCCCGGTGAATTGAGTAATAATGAAGCTATGACTTTATCAGGGTGCTGTGGCAAATCTAGTTCAAAAGGCACAAGAAATGGTCTCACTAATTTTTTTTAAATCCTCACACAAGGATATTTTTCCCATTGATTTTTAGAGAGAGTGGGAGGCAGAGGGAGAGATAGAGAGAAACACTGATGTGCGAAAGACACATTGATTGGTTGCCTCTCACATGCCCCTGACCAGGGCTGGGAGCCTGCAACTAAGGTGTGTGCCCTTGATGGGAATTGAACCGGGGACCCTTAAGTCTGCAGGCTGACGCCTTATCCACTGAAGCCAGGGCTCTTCTCATTAATTTTTAAAGAATCTTAGAGTAATAGTGAAAAGAGCAAATATTATAAATATGGAAGGAATGTCTGCCTGTCATGCTTGAGGGAGCTGTCCCTTTCTTAAACTATTTTTGTGCTTCAGGTCAACTCATCTGCAGATCTAGATCAGATGAGACAATGTTTTGTTGTTAACCCTCACCAGAGGATAGACAGACAGACAGACATCGATGTGAGAGAGAGACATCAATTGGGTGCCTCCCGAATGTGCCTTGACCAGGGCTGGGGACTGAACCCATGATCCTTTGATGTGTGGGCCAACACTGTAATCACTGGACAAAACCCACCATGGCAAGACAATGTGTGTTGTTGCTTTTTTTTAAGACATAATGTTTTATTATTGCTCTTTCCTCTCTTATAAGAAGGCACTGGAGGACAGAATGAACCTGAAACAGCAAGGAAGCTCGTATGACAAACAGATTTGGAACCAACTTGAATGGGCTCTGCTGTTTGACATGCAGTGACAAGCAAAGCACAGACTGACAGCCTCAGTGCTCCTCTCCCAGTGCTGGTAATAAAACATACACCGAATACTATTAAGATCTTTTAGGCCCAGGTGTCACCTTTGGCCCTGATAAACATCTCCAGGCTCCACTGGAGTGAAACGAGAACACAAGTGCATCAACAGAATGATGCAACCATCTGCTAGGGAAGAAATCAAAACAGCCCTACCTGACCTTAGCAGTGTCTGCAGACAGCACTTCTATTTAGGGTCCTGATCACTAGGGAATCCCTGCAAGAAGCCAGGGACAGGAGAGGAGAAAAGGGAGTATAAGAATCTGCCTCGCACACCACACTCAGCTAGCGGCTTTACAGGTAGCTGCTAATCTTCACACCCTCATGGGTTTCACATACTTGAGAGGGAGAAATTCAGCAGTTAAACAGCTCCTACTGTTTAGAGCCAGCCTGAGTCACCCTTTGGATGGAGACTCATAGAAGGCAGTGTTACAAGTGAGCAGGCACTTGTCAACAGCATCAAGGTAACTCATTTCCCTCCTGCTGACTTCCACTCATGGGGAGCTCCAGCTGCTCCCAAGGCCCCCAGCAAGTGGAGAGAGATGGGCTGACACGGGATGATCCACTGAGCCCCATGGGCAGAATAGTGGATTTGGAGGAAAGCTCAGGGCCCATCAGTGTGCAGTTTGGTTTTTTTTTTCAGGCTGTGACTGAAATAGAATAGAGTGTTTATGACTTGTCAGGAGTAACAAGTCAGTAAAACTTGGAGAAAAACAAAGATGCTGAGATCTCACTTGGTGCTGAGAGAGTACTAATCCTAATGGCTTTTACAATTACAGACTCAAACGCTCTGTAAGACAGATCTAGCTCCATGCAAAGGGAATTCTAGCATTTTAAAGGACTGCTCCTGCTAATTCTTAGAACCCCAAAGCTGTGCCTGGAAAACCAGTTCATTGAAAACAAAGCTGCCGTGTTACTGGAGGCCGTCTGGGAAGGGAGTGCCACAGGTCCTTCAGTCCATTTGAAGTAAGCAAAATGGCTCTTGTCCCTAAAATGTGATCTGGGTAATAACTTTTGAAGAGACTGTTATTTAAGGTAAACTCATTTGGTTTCCACCAATAAAATGAAGACGTCTGAATTTTATTTGGTTCATTTAACTCTCTAAGGCTGTACAGTCATGAAGTATGTGCTGGGGTATCTAAAAATCAGTTCGTTGCCCAGCCCGTGTAGCTCAGTGGTTGAGCACTGACCTATGAATGAGGAGGTCACAGTTTAATTCCCCGGTCAGGGCACATGCCTGGGTTTCGGGCTCAATTCCCATTGGGGAATGTGCAGGAGGCAGCCAGTCAATGATTCTCATCAATGATAATTCTTTCTTTCTTTCTTCCTTTCTCTCTCTCTCTCTCTCTCTCTCTCTCTCTCTCTCTCTCTCTTCCTCTCTAAAATCAATAAAAAATATATTTTACATATATATATATATATATATTTTTTTTTAATTGAATATCAACTCTTTGCTTCCTCAGGCCCAGTCTCCAAAATGTTTGGTAAGTTTAGGAAAGAGGTCATATCATGCAAGTACACATATTTGTTCTAGTTCACTCCTTCACCAATCCTGGCAAGACTCCAGCCAGCACTCTCAACATCTCCTTCCTCCTCACTCTGCTCTCCTGTTGTCTCTGCAACAGCTAGGTGCTGTCAGACACAGAGAGGACCACCGTGGCAGGGAGAGTGGTACTGAGAGCTCCAATGACAAACAGATTTGGAACCAATGTAAAGGAGCTCTCATGTTTGCCTTGCAAAAAAAGCAAAGCTCTGTACAGATGACAGCCTCAGTGCTTCTCTCCTAGTGCTGGCAATGAAAATACACTGAATACTATTAAGACCTTTTAGACCCAGATGTCACCTTTGGCCCTGATAAGAAGGTGACCCCGGGCATCCTGGCCAGTGATTTTGGACATGTCCATCTAACATATACCACAGTTAAGATCAACTGATACAAACATGGTGTTAATAAATGCCTTTGCATAAATGTGATTCTTGAGTAAAAAAAAAATAAACTTGAAAACTTGGCTCCAGACATGTAACTGAGATGACTTGCAACACCATTTAGGCTTCCTGATAATTGCTTCCCCAGCTACATCTGTCCTTCTTTCCTGAGGAGAACAGAGTATCGCTGTCTGAAGATAGGCTTAGTAATGTATGCTGCTATGAACCAAACTCATGTCAACCCTCTGAACGCCTAGTGAATCAGCTCTGTCTTCTGCAGACTGTCAGCTGACGGCACCCTAGCAGCCTGGTTCCAGTGCAGGCAGGATGGGGGTAAGAGGAGGGTTCCTTTGGCTTCCTAAGTCACTACAACAAAACCAGTTTCCCTCATTCAGGACAAGACTGTTGAACGTCACTGCAAAATATCTGCTGACAAACTTCAAGCTATTCCAATATCTAATAACCACAGGAAGAGATAGCAAGAATTCTGGGGATAAAGTACTGCTCTTCAGAATGTGATCCTTTTTAAACTGATACTTCACCTTGTTCCAGAAAGGATTTAAAGGGAGATGCATCAGGCTAGTGACTATGGCTCTGCCAGTTAACAGTCCAGATGTGTAGCTCCATGCCTCAGACCCTGGGCTAGCATCCTAATGTGTGTTCTCCAAGAACCTCAGATTGGAACGCATTCCATACTACTCTGGGCTGAGAGCAGAGTGCTGCAACATCGCCTCTTGCCCATCTCACCACAGTGGGTCCAGTGCCACACGAGATGCAAAGGAAAAATTCCTGGCCCGTAACCGCTTAGAAGAGTCAAGATATCCAACCAAGTACAGTTTCTAAGCTTGTCCTACCTCAAGGACAAGGCTTGCTTAGGGCAAAAATAAACCTTGTTATAGTTGTTACAAGGATTAAATAAGAAAAAGCCCATACATGCCAAGAATTACGTTCAGTTTAACTGGATGAGGCATCTTTGTGGTCTTCCTCCTGCAGGGGAAGAAAAGATTTCTTCCCTTCTAGGTTCTCTGTCTGGTTAAATCAACTCCCCTAGACCAGTGGTCGGCAAACTCATTAGTCAACAGAGCCAAATATTAACAGTACGATTGAAATTTCTCTTGAGAGCCAAATTTTTTAAACTTAAACTATATAAGTAGGTACATTGTTATTAACTTAATTAGGGTACTCCTAAGGCTTAGGAAGAGCCACACTCAAGGGGCCAAAGAGCCGCATGTGGCTCGCGAGCCGCAGTTTGCTGACCACGGCCCTAGACGATTGGAGAAGGGGGTAGGTGACTGGGGTTTTAAAGGGAAAGAAGACAATTCACAGGAAGATGGGAAGACCCAACTTTTGGTAAACAAATGTTTGCCATACTAAGCAGAAATAGAGGACCTTGGACTTTGAACAAACAGGACCTCCCTCCAGCTTGCCACACCTAGCCCATACTCTTTGCAGTTATCTCTGACGATAACTCTCTTCCTGGACCAGGCCTTCTATCTAAATTCATTTGGGTAGTTAAAGGGGAAGTGAAAAGCTCTTGCTGAGTCTTCTGGGCCTTGATTGACTTCAGCTGAAAGTAACCCACATGCCAAAGAGGCAATTTTGGGGAGGCTTATTCCGAACCCCTTCACTCTCACCCGACCCTTTTTCTTTCCCTTGAAACTGATGGTGTAACCTAAGACTTCCCAAAACATGTTTGTAATATGACTGTCATTTTTAAAGACAGACTTTTGGGTAAGAATTAGAAAACAAATACAGATCCACTGATTTCTCATGGAAATGGATCCTAAAGAGTCCAGCTCTCACACACAACTTGATTTTCTACATTCCCTTTAAAAGAATATAAAGGCAAGGCCGAAAAAGGGGCTTAGTAATAAGTCTGACCGAAAGTAACATTACAGCCCAATGGGCTCAGTGGTTGAGCATCAACCTATGAACCAGGACGTCATGGTTCGATTCCCGGTCAGGGCACATGGCCTGGGTTGAAGGCTAGATTCCCAGTGTGGAGCATGCAGGAGGCAGGTGATCAATGAGTCTCTCTCATCATTGATGTTTCTATCTCTCCCTCTCCCTTCCTCTCTGAAATCAATAAAAATATATCGATTTTAAAAAGTAACATTATAGACATGACCATAAATTCTAACTGGGCAGGTCATGGTGGGTAGTCAGGCACAGGACTATGAAAGGTTTATCTTTGCCTTAAGCAAGCCTTGTCCATTGTTCTTGTGCAACTAGGTTTACATACTTTTGAAATGACAATAATCGTCTTTCCCAGACCTTCCCTGTAACCACCCTTGAGGGAGCATATATAGTCTTAACTATTGTGTACCTCCATTTCTCCCACTTCATGTAATCTTCCTTACATCCCTCCTTAATCCCCAAAGTATAAAAGAAATTGCCAAACTGTCATTCTCCAGAGCATCTGAGCTCTAGCATGTCACCAGTTTGACTCAAACCCTTACAAACAATTGCTACAGGCTTGGACATCTCTGAAATTGAAATTTACTTGGAATAGTGAGCAGGATTCTGAAGAAGCCCGCGCAGGATCACCCTGTGGACCCAAACCTGGTGCTAGGTACCACATGGGCCCCTTGTGCCCCACCAGCCCCTGCTTTGCATGGGGTGAACTTGGGTGAGTTTTCTCTTGGAATTCTAACTTTAAATGGCTGGCCCTAACTTTATTTGAGCTGTTCTTATAAAATCCTCGAGGTGGATATGGGTTGAGATAACCCAGGGAAAGGAAAAGAAAAAGTGGGTGACTGCTTTTAATTTGGGCTTTGCTTACTGAAAAGTCTGAATGAAATCTTTGCTGGTTAAATGAGAGACTGAACTCTCTTTAGCTCTGAAGGAGAAAAGACACTTGCTTCCCCAACCCAATCTTGGGGATTCTTAGATGACTAAGGATCTTCGTGAGGTTGCCTGAGGAAAAATGTCCTCTAGAGCAGCGGTTGCCAAACTTTCGGACCTCACGGACCACCAGTTGGTGACCGCGGCTCTAGAGTGTGAAATAGTCTTATCAGGATATCTACCATATCATCTAGAGACCTTGCATGTAAAGGCTGGTTTTCCCTCGAAGTTTGTTCAGACTCTAGAGATCTCAAAGGAAATGAAAATTAATGTGGGGAATCGGCAAGCCTAACCCAGTCAGCCTCCCATTAATACTCCTGCAGGAAGATTGCCGAAATGAGGATCCTTTGATACTTCTCAACTAATCTTTGCATGCACAATTAGAAAAAGCCAGCTATAAAATTCGGCAAAATGAATGGAAAGCATATTTAATTGGTCTCTCAAAGATTGAAAAAGAGAATTTAAATAAATGGATCAACCTATGATGTTGTTTAGGTGGCAAACCAATTCTTTTAAGGTATTAAAAATAGCTGTTCTTACTTTAAAAGGGAAAGAACATTTGAAACGTGCTTAACTTGTCAAGGACAGATACAAACTGTGTCTGTTGTTTTCTTTTTGTTTTTTGTAAGTTTCTTCTTATCCCAACTGCCAAAACAAAATTTGGATCCAAATTTTTATAAACTAGTGTGTTTTTCCTTAAGGCTAAGGTCTCTGTTTATGTCTATGTATGTCTATGTATGTATGTTGTAAATGTGAGATAATTTTTCTACCTCTGGGTGGTATTGTTAAAATTAATTTAATAAATTAAAATTAACTGGTTTGAAGGCAAGTGGTTGTAAGGATTAGGTATTCTAAAATTCTCAGAAATATAAAAACTCAAATGCTTTTCAAGTTCATGTAATCTAAAGTTAATCCTTTAAAAGTTAGTTTAAATTTGTTGGTTTAAGGAGAACAGACATATCTTTTGAGTTATTGATATTAAATATTTTTAACCAAGTTTTAAAAAAATAAGTCCATGTTAATAATTCATGTGTTGACATCTATGAAATATGTTTCCAGGGGTTATAAAGTGTCTTCATAAAGTGGCCAAGTTAAAGAATGCTAATTGCTTCTTAGTTTTCATTAGAAATTGAGGTTTTAAAGGTTAAAATATCAATATATGTAGGAATAATTTGTGGTGTCCAGAAGGGCCCTTGGAACACCACAAAAGATTTGTGTGTGTGTGCATGCATGTGCGTTTTGTGTGTGTGTTTTTAAATATATTTATATTGATTTCAGAGAGGAAGGAAGAGAGGAAGAGAGAGAGAGAGAGAGAGAGAGAGAGAGAGAGAGAAATATTAATGATTAAAGAGAATCACTGATCGGCTGCCTCCTGCACGCGTCACACAGGGGATCGAGCCCACAACCCAGGCATGTGCCCTTGACCAGAATTGAACCCAGGACCCTTCAGTCTGCAGGCTGACACCATCCACTGAGCCAAACCAGCTAGGGCAATTTGTGTGTGTGTGCTTTTTGTTTGTTTGGTTTTCTAAAAATACATTTTATTGATTTTTTACAGAGAGGAAGGGAGAGGGATAGAGAGTTAGAAACATCGATGAGAGAGAAACATCGATCAGCCGCCTCCTGCACACCCCCTACTGGGGATGTGCCCACAACCAAGGTACATGCCCTTGACCAGAACCGAACCTGGAACCCTTCAGTCCGCAGGCCGACGCTCTATCCACTGAGCCAAACCGGTTAGGGCTGTGCGTGTTTTTTAATGTTAAACTGCATGGGAAGCATTGTAAATAAGTGATTAAAAAAAAAACTTCTAGGATATATAGTATGGGTAAACAATTGTTGTAAATTAAACAAATAGCTGGGTTTTGGGAAACCCAAAACAGCTGCTTAGTTCTTCTGGACTCCCTGGCAAACCCCATTTTTTGGTTTTCACATTCCTTCATACATCACAGTGCATTTAAGCTGGACTTAAGGTAGGTGAAGGAACTTATGAGCTGACGTTATTGAAAAGAGTCATCTTACATTATTGCCAGGTTTGATAAAGTCACTTTAAGAGAATGCCAAATAGGTAGCTGCTTCCTTTCACAGACAGCTCCCAGGAGACAAAAACTTTAGAGATCACTGACTGCCACTTGGAGATTCTGTTTATTGGAAAGGAGATCAAATAAAATACATTCTCCAACCTCACTGTAAGGGACCATATCAGGTGCCTAACTGTGAATGGATATCTACCCCTGACTCTGACACTGACCTCCACCTACAACAGGCACAAAAGACTCTTCAAAGACAAGAAGCCACCGACACCAGAGGTGGACAGCTATCCCAAACACCAACAAGGCCTGTATACCTACAGACTGATGTTGAACTCAGAAATCAATTATTTGATTATCTTACCGGTCTGCTAATAATATTAGTCATAGTAATAGTTATACACTACTTGTTCTTTGAGAGCTTTTCTATATATTCCAATTGTTAATGATTAATAACTTTTAATTCTCCTTTTATGGCTTATGTAAATATTATACTAGATCAGTGGTTCTCAACCTTCCTAATGCCATGACCCTTTAATACAGTTCCTCATGTTGTGGTGACCCCCAATTTCATTGTTACATATTGAACATAATTAAAGCATAGTGATTAATCACAAAAACAATATGTAATTATTATGTGTTTTCCGATGGTCTTAGGCGACCCCTGTGAAAGGGTCGTTTGACCCCCAAAGGGGTCGTGACCCACAGGTTGAGAACCGCTGTACTAGATGCAAAATACAGAAAAATGAGAAGGGTGACAAAATCCAGATCATAATAGTTCACAGGATAGAAATGATCTAGAGTGTTTGTGCAATGATGGCCATGAGACATGACTGCCTTCCATATACATGCCCTTCTTTTTTGGAAAAATTTGACAAGATTATTTCAAAATTGAGACTTCCTAGGAATGAGCCTTCCTACCACAGTGAAACCACACTATCTAAAAGGTTGGTCATCGATGCATCCTTTGGATTGATTTATGACCAAAAGGAGGAATTGTGGATGAAAAATGGATTCTGTAGTAAGTATGATCAGTTGCTAGGGTAACCTGATCATAAATTCTTAGCTGGGAAGATCATGGTGGGTAGTCACACCCCAAGCCTATAAAATTGTTATCTTCGCTTTAAGCAAGTCCTGTCCATTGTTCTTGTGAATGAAATGTGAATGAAATCAAGACTCTAATAAATCCGACAGGTCTAGTGACTAAAAATAACCTCACGGGGTGATCTGAGCATACATTACTCTCTGGGCACGTCATGGTGGGTAGCCACGTCCTAAACATATAACTTCTTCAGTATATCTATTCCTTAAGCAAACTCTGTCCATTGTTTCTGTGCTTCTAGGTTAACACACCTTAAATGCCAGAGTAATCCTTTTTTTTAGACCCCTTGCAGGCATGACCACCCTCAAGAAAGCACATAATCTGAACTATCCTGTAATAATAAAAGCCTAATATGCTAAGTGTCTGACCATTCGTTTAACCGTTTGACCAGTTGCTATGATGCACACTGACCACCAAGGGGCAGACGCTCTGACCGGTAGGTTAGCTTGTTGCTGGGGTCCAGCTGATTGGGACTGGGCAAGATGGGCTGGACACACCTGGAGCCTTCCTGCAGTCCCTCCCTGGCCCTGATCGTGCACGGGGCCTCTAGTCCTGTAATAAGAAACTGTAGCCTGGCTGAGCATGGACCCGTGAACCAGGCCCTGTCGGATGGGGCACATGCCTGGGTTGTGGGCTTGATCACCAGTAGGGGTGCGTGCAGCAGGCAGCCAATTGATGTTCCTCTCTCATCGAAATGTTTCTATGTCTCTATCCTAGGCAGTACTTAATGCTTCAATCTTTCTATTCTAGGCAATATTTAATGGCTGATAACATCATTTCTGGTGGAAGTGTATACTGCTATCCATGAAGCAGAATTGCTGGGGGGGGGGGGGGGGAATTGAACCTAAATCTGACCAAGGACCTCTAGATCCAAATACAATTTACAGGAAATACAGAGGACAAAAGAACAAGTCATAGGTTGACATGAGGATGTGATCTGCAAAATCCAAACTGAGAGATTCTGCAGACACATGACCTAGTTTCTTCTACATTAAGCTGCAAGGAAGAAGGAAATAACAGAGGAGGGACCTATAAAGGACTTAAGAGATAGCAATCAATATAGAAGTTATTTGCATCCCTACTCAAACTGTAAAAATAAACATTAAAAATATAAGTTAATGGGGTAGGGTGACCATTAAAAGGTGTAAGACTTACTTGTCCCTGTTGAAAATAAGGGAATAGACCTCCCCCCCCCCACTTTGTTTCAAAATTTCTCTTTCTGTCCTTTTCAAATGTATATAAATCTTTATAATGACTAAAGGAGCCCGTGCCAGTCTCACAACCCAAGAATGTTTCCTCAAGGATCTGGGAACCATCTTTTTGAAATGCAAACATCTAGCCCTCTTTTCCCAGTTCCTATGGGAGAATAATAGGCTAACTTCTGTGGGCACAAAATATAAGAATTCTTTAAAAGTTATCCCCAATACCTTTACCACACCTAAAAGGTGGAGGGTGCCTTGCTCCAATATGCAAAACTGCCTCCCCCGTTAAGATGAAAGGTCTGTTTACCCTTCAGATAAATGGAATCAACTAACACAGGTGGCCAATCCAATTTCTTTTAAGTTAGAATGCACTATATGTGACAAAAGGTACTATCAAGTTCTCTTACTGGAGGACTAGTTATCATTTATCTTGAAAACATCTAATGTCTTGCACCTTCTTGGCTATATAAATGAGTGAGATTTCTTTATTTTTGTAATCTTTTAGCAGATTGCCTGATTTAATGCTTATTCAATATTACCTGTTTTCTTTCTCTACGTCTTGGAGGGGTTCTCTCAGTTGGGGAGGTTTTTAAAAACTTTTATTTCCCCAACACTGGGTATTTGATATTAACTTATTTTAGGTAAGGTAAAGGTATTGTGGATAAGTTTTAAAGAATTCTTGTATTTTGGAGATAATGAAATATTTGCAGATGAAACAATATGATGTTTGTGATTTGCTTCAAAAGGTATGGAGGTAGAGTGAAAAACATTCCTGTGTACTGATGATTGATGTTGGGTGACATATGTATTAAATTCATTATGCTACCATCTCTACTATTGTTATGTTGGAACACTTCCATAATGAAAAGAGAAGATCCATGGAAGCCAGCTGGCATGCAGGTATGGAGCTGGGAGCGGAAACAAGTGTGGGAGACAAAGTTTTGGACGTCAGCATTCAGGTGATAGGAAAGCCACGGAAATGGACAGTGTTAACCGGCGTAGCATAAAGCAAGAGGATCAAGGACAGAACTCTGAGGAACAGCAACATGTAAGGGATAGGAAGCAGATCTGGCAAAGGAACCTGAAGAGTTAAAACCAGAAGAGAGTGGTGTCAGTTTCAATTAAGGTGAGTGGAATGTAGCTGGCCTCCAACCTCAGCAAAACCAGTTTCATTGCAATGATGGCCCGGGACACCAGATTATAGCCAGTGTGAAAGGGCAGTGGGGAAGCCAGGATGGTGGCTCTGAAGAGAACAAAACTACTATAGCTAGAAGGCTACATATGGTCAAGGGCGGGGGGTGGGGTGGGAGGTAGATAAGATTAATTACCGCAGGGACAGGTGAATGGAGAGAAGTTGAGAAACAAGGGGAGAGAAGGGATAACAGCAGGAACAAGGACTCTCAGAACACAGGAAGGTAAGGGATCCAGAGCACAGGGAGATGATGTGGCTAAGCGATGCTTGTGCAATATCTATTCTTCCCTTCTGCAGAGACAGGAGTTTCACTTGGGAGCATGACTTTTTAGAAGAGAGACTAAATTCACCACCACATTCTTTTTTAAAAAAATATATTATTTATTTCAGAGAGGAAGGGAGAGGGAGAGAGATAGAAACATCAATGATGAGAGAGAATCATTGATTGGCTGCCTCCTGCTCACCCCCAACTGGGGATCGAGCCCGCAACCCAGGCACGATTCAGTATGAACCTGAAGAGTGTTCATAATGACCGGAATCAAACCTACGACCCTTCAGTCCACAGGCCAACACTCTATCCACTGAGCCACGCCGGCTAGGGCTCACCACCACCTTCTGTAACTGGGTGTGGCCATGTGACCCATTGGGGTCAACAGGATAAGCAGAAGTGTCCTGCAGCAACTTCTTGGGAACATTCCTAAGGGAAAGCACAAGTTCTCCCTTTGCTTGCTTCTTTGTTCATTCTTCCATCCTGCTGCCAGAACTGAGGCCATAGGCATCTTGGACCATTAGATCCAGGCCCGCTGCTAACGCAGCACGGTAAGAATCGAGGTCTGAACTTCCAGGAACGGAGCTGCTAAACCAGCTCCAGACTTCTCTCTAAACTCTGTTCACTGGAGAGTGAAATGAACTATTTTTCTTAAACTTCTATTTTGGGCTCTGATTATCATGTGCAATTGCAACTACCACATTGTCATGTCCCTATGAGAAGAAGCTACAACCTCAGGTGACCTTCCTTGTCCTTCATACATTTCTATTCTAATTTACTTTTAAGTGTTCCTTTTTATATGTATTTTAAGTTGTGGTAAAATACACATAAAATAACCACCTTACACTATTTTTAAGCGGTATTAAGCACATTCATCATTGTTCTGTGAGTATAACACCATCTATTTCCAGAACTCTTTTCATCTTGCAAAACTGAAATTTTGTACCCATTAAACAATATTTCTCCATTCCCTCTCTCGCTAGTCCTGGCAACCACCATTCTACTTTCTGTCTCTATGAATTTGACTATTCTAGGTACCTCATAAGTGGACTCATCCATCATGTATTTGTCTTTTTGAGAGTGGTGTATTTAATTTAGCACAATGTTTTCAAAGTTCACCTATTCTATAGCACATATCAGAATTTCCTTCCCTTTTAAGACTGAATAATATTCCATTGTATGTGTTAACCACATTTTGCTCATCCATTCATCATCAATAGACACGTGGGTTGCATCCACCCTTTGGTTATTACGGATAAGCTGTTATGAACATGGGTGTACAGATATCACTTTGAGATGTTACTTTCAACGTTTGAATATACCAGTATGCTTGGAGTGAAACTGCTGGATCCTACTTTTCATTTTTTGAGGAACCACCATACTGTTTTCCATAGTGCCTATGTCATTTTACATAGGACAGAGAGGTTCCAATATCTTCATATTCTTACCAACACGTTTGTTTGTTTTTTTACACTAGCTATCCTAATGGGTATCATTAATTTGCTTTTAACCGATTAAGAATGACATTAATAGCAAGAGCCTAGTACATTGTCTAGAACATGGTAAATGTTAGATATGGAACAACTTTGAAATAAAAAGATGTAAGTTAAACCATTTGCTGCTCATATAAGCAGGAAATATATAGTTATATTGAAATTTAATAACAGATTTTCCTATATTCAGGCACATCATCAGTGATGGAGGCCTTTGCTAAGGCATGAGCAAATTACCAATTCCAGAAGAGCTTCATCACACTCCAACAGAAACCAGTTCCCATGAGCAGTCACTCCCCACTTCCTCCCCTACCCCACCCCCACCCCCAGCACTTGGGAACCACTAATCTACTTTCTGTTTCTATGGATTTGCCTATTTTTAGACATTTCATACAATGGAATCATATAATATGAGGTATCTTTATTTTTTTATTTTTTTAAAATATATTTTATTGATTTTTTACAGAGAGGAAGGGAGAGGGATAGAGAGTTAGAAACATCGATGAGAGAGAAACATTGATCAGCTGCCTCCTGCACATCCTCTACTGGGGATGTGCCCACAACCAAGGTATATGCCCTTGACTGGAATCGAACCTGGGACTCTTCAGTCTGCAGGCCGACTATCCACTGAGCCAAACCGGTCAGGGCAATATGAGGTATCTTTTAATACACAATACTTTTCTTTAAAAAATGTTTTTTTATTGATTTTAGAGAGAGAGGGAGAGAGAAAAATCAATCGGCTGCCTCTTGCATGCCCCCTACTGGGGATCGAGCCCACAACCCAGGCCTGCGCCCTGACAGAGAATTGAATCATGCCCTTCTGGTTCATTGGTCAATACTCAACCACTGAGCCACACCAGCAGGCTCTATGTGGCCTTTGTGTCTGCCTTCTTTCACTTAGTATAATGCTTTTTTAAGGTTCACCCATTGTATGGCTATATCACAATTTTTTTAAAAACAACTCAAATCTCCCACAAAAATCCAGACTTCAGGCTTTTCTTGGAAAACCAAAAATAAAACAATAGAAGGCCCTCCCCTGCCCACATGGGATCCACTGGCTAGCCCAGCAACAGCTTCTTCCTTGGACACTCCAGGCACCTTTCTACCCCAGGTCTTCGCACTTACTGTTTCCTCTGCCTGAAACGCTTTTCTCCCAAATATGCACATGGCTCCTTTCCTCACCTCAGGGATCTGTTCACTGACACCTCCTCAGTATGGCCTCCCTATCTACATATACAATGCTGCCCTGTCCCCATACTTGCTATCCTCCTGTCCCTTGCTTTCATTTACTCATTAGCACTCATCATTATCTGAGATACTATATATTTTATTTTGTCTGTTTCAAACCACCCCAACAGAGTTCTAGAACAGGAGTTTCTGTTTTGTTCACTGTTGTATTCTCAGCACCTAGAACTTAGTAGGCTCAAGTTGTTGAATATACAAATTAGTGAATGAATGAACATGTTATAGTTTTTAGTGACTAAAAGCTGCTCCTAAGAAAACTAAACCTGGAAAGGATGTTTAAACAGTTCTGACACATACTTTATATTAATTCACATTTTTAGTTCAAGGAGTTTCGGCATATATGCAGTCCTGTAATCACCACCACACTTAAGATATAACACATTTAAAATAATTCACAGTAACACATTATGGTAGGTCTGTTTGCTACAAGTAGGCCTGGAACTTGGAGATATCTTTAATTAAAACTTTAGGCTGCTGTTTTCAAAAGTCATAGCAAGGAACATGATGGTTCAAAAATCAAAGCACCAAGAGAACAGAGAGTTGTTAAAATCCACAGGGACTAAAATATAGTCCTAAATCAAAGGACAAAGAAACTGTAACCTAATGAGTTATATTAACTTTCAAGAACATTGTGTAAAGTAGTAGGAAAAAAGCAAGCAAAGGAACAAGAATTTATTAACAAAGACCTTTGAGGATTCCAGTCCAAAATTTTTTTTTAATTGATGTTTTTATTTTTGTGTTTAGAGAAAGTGAGAGATCAATTTGTTGTTCCACTTATTTATGCATTCACTGGTTGATTCTTGTATGTGCCCTAAGTGGGGATAGAACCTGAAACCTTGGTGAATCGGGACAATGCTCTAACCAACTGATCAACCAGGCAAGGCTCAAAATTTTGTTTCTCATTGGTATTTGTAAACTGTTTTATCAGCAATCAGGATCTTTAAGCTTCAGGCAACAGAAACCTGTTCTGGCTAAGTCCAGCAGAACAGCAATCTGTTTAATTATTGTAATTCCTAGGAACTTTAATTAGGGCCCTAAGCTGGTTTAAAGGCACACTGCCCAGAAATATTGGCCCCATCAGTCACATTGCAGGATGGCACAGAGAAGATGCTGCTGATGCCTCCACTACTAGGGAAAGGCAGCTTGCATGGACAGAGGCTACTGACCAATTGCTGCCATCATTGCCCATCACAAAATGAGTTATTTGCTGCCTTGAAATTTGAACCAAAGTTTAGGATAGGTGCTTCTGGTGGTGGAACCTCAGTCAAGTGCCCACAACCCTAGCTGCAATGAAAACAAGGTGGAATGTGGGTGGAAATAAGTCTAAGAGGTAGATGAAGGTCAAATTATGGAGGACCTATCCTATTGGTTAAGTGTGGAGCGCATACCATTAGTGATTAAAGGACAGATACCAAAATGTAAAACTATTAAAAGGAAAATATATTAGAAAGATGTATCTAGCACAGCCTGAGATGTCATTGTTTATTGGAGGGACAAGTTATATTTTAAAGTAGGAAGCTTTAGACTCAATTAAAAAAATAAAAGCCAAAGTAAATATGACAAATTAGATGGTATATGACTCTAAATTTTCTCCTTCTAATATAAATATTTTGGAGGAGTGCATGACCAGATTCTGCAGATAGCGAACTGGGAGTGTGCCTCAGCAAGAATTCTTACCTTTGCCTGCTCATTCTAGAGATCCCAGGATCTTTCTACTGCAGGCACTTCAGCATAAGCAGTGCCCAGCTGGTGAGGTATCCTATTCATGATGCCAACTGTGGGGGCAGAATAAACTTACTCTACCCTCAAGGTTCTTTTGGTCATATACTCCTTCAAAAAAATTGAAGAAGAGGGATACTTCCTAATTTTGTGAGGCCAACATTATGCTGATACCAAAACCAGGCAAGGATAACACATAAAAAAGAAAATTACAGTCCAATATCTGATGAACACAGATGCAGAAATCTTCAACAAAATACTAGCAAATCAAATACAACAATACATTAAAAAGATAATGCATCATGATTAAGTGGGGTTCATTCCAGGGATGCAAGGATGATTCAACATATGCAAATCACTTAATGTAATACACACATTAACAAAATAAAAGATAAAAGTCACATGGTCTCATCAATAGATGTAGGAAAAGCATTTGACAAGATACGACACCCACTTATAATTAAAACACTCAATACAATGGGTATAGAAGGAAAGTACCTGAGCATAATAAAGGCCATATATGACAAACCCTCAGCTAATATGCTCAATAGTGAAAAACTGAAAGCTTTTCCTCTAAGCTCAGGAATAAGATAAGAATGCCCACTTGTGCCACTGTTATTCAACATAGTACTGGGAAGTCCTAGCCAGAGCAATTAGGCAAGAGAAAGAAATAAAGGGCATCCAAATTGGGAATGAAGAAGTAAAACTGTCACTATTTTCAGATGACATGATTCTATATAGAGAAAACCCTAAAGATTCCACCCAAAAGATGATTAGAAGCAATAAACAAATACAATAAAGTTGCAAGATACAAAATCAATATACAAAAATCTTCTGGGTTCCTATATACTAACAATGAAATATTGGAAAAAGAAATGAAAAAAACAGTCCTATTTGCAATAGCAACAAAAAGGGTAAACTATCTAGGAATAAAGGAAGGAAGTGAAGGACCTACTCACTAAAAACGGTAAGACACTGTTGAAAGCAATTGAAGACACAAAAAAATCTATATATATAAAAGTGTAATATGCAAATTGACCAGACAGTGGAACGACTGGTCAGCTATGACACGCACTGACCAACAGGGGGCATACACTCAACATAGGAGCTGCCCCCAGCCCGCAGGATCCAATCACCTGATTGGGGCCTACAGGCCAACATCTTTTTTTTTTTTATATATATATATTTTATTAATTTTTGTTGTTTTTTACAGAGAGGAAGGGAGAGGGATAGAGAGTTAGAAACATCGATGAGAGAGAAACATCAATCAGCTGCCTCCTGCACACCCCTTCTGGGGATGTGCCCGCAACCAAGGTACATGCCCTTGACCAGAATCGAACCTAGGACCTTTCAGTCCGCAGGCTGACGCTCTATACACTGAGCCAAACCGATTACGACCAGGCCAACATCTTAATCCCTCCCCCCGGCTGGCAGGCTGATCACCCAATGGGGAATGGGGAACCAGGGGTGGGTGGCAGTGGACACGGGTGGTGCCGGGGGCCTGATCATCGGCCAGGCATAGGGACCCTACCTGTGCACAAATTTTGTGCACCGGGCCTCTAGTGTAAATATATCTCCTGTTCATGAATTGGAAGAATTAACATAGTTAAAATGGAGCAGAAGAACAAATGTCCTAAATTGGGACAAATAAATGGGAATAGATGTCCCAAATAGGTCAGGATAGCTCCCAAATGACTTCCTGAACTCCAGGACTCTTGGCCTGGTCACAGTGGCACATTAGATAATTGTGCCAGAGGCTGTCACCTCTTTTAAGTACCACAGGGAGGTCAAATTACCATAACTATAATGAGGGAGACCTTAAACTACTATCCTTAGTTTACAGCTATTTTCCCCCACACTCATTCTACTTCTGAAGAAAAAGGGGCAAATGACCATGGCTGGCAGCGCTAACCAGAATCAGGAGCAGAGGCACTACGCCTCTGCCATGGCCTTGTTCATTTCTCCTCTCAGGTTCTCTTTATATATTCAAATTAAGTGGTTACTTGAGAGAGGACCCACTGAGTGTGCCTCCCAAGCCTCACACCAGGTCAAATACATTCATTCCAGAAAACAGGAAGTTTAACCATTGCCATGGCAACATTGATAGCCCTGCGACATCAGAGCAGAAGGCAAAAAACAAAGGGATTTGTGAATGTTAACCTCTCCGTGGGTCTTCTCTCCCTTGAAACTCACCCATACTGCTTATTTGAAAGTGCTCGAAGAGCCTGAGTTTTTTTGGTACTATTTCTGAATAGAGCTTTGGAACTTCTCTGTACTTTACTCTAACATGTTCCTGGAGATTAGCCCAGCCCCAGGCTGGAAATCTGCTGAGTGCCACAATCTTATTAATATGCAGTGAGATTCTATTTCTGACCACTCACCAGCAGTCTGGCTACCAATTGGGCTACCAATCAGCTACAAGGTAAGAATATAAATGATAAAACTAAAAATATTTTTTTTTAATGAAAGGGAAAACCAAATAAATCGAAGCTTCACCATCACTTTAGGTTGAGAGTTTACAGAGGAAGCATTATGGTATTTAAGGGAGAACAGCTGCCCCAGGGTGGAGTGGAAAAATACCATGAGCTGGGACAGGAAAGGAGGTCTGTAAGGCTGAGGAGAGGCTGCTACAAATGTGCCCCTCCCCCTCGTTCAGCAGCCTCCACTGAATACTGTCTCCTGTGTGAGAGGCTGAAAAAGGATTCTTGTCAAGAGTCGCGAGGCAGAATCCAGCAATGAGCAGGCAATTCGAGCAAGGCCAGGCCTAGTTTATCAGATGGGCTGCACAGGTCTATCCAGTATTAAAAAGCAGTGATTGCCAGAGATTGCTTTTTTAAAAGGCAGAATGTGTATAGCTGATATAAAGGGACAGTATCCTCATTTATAAGCGAGAATAAAAACCTCCTCCATTAGGTAATGTGTGACACATTAACACTAAATCTTACCAATTTATCTTTCATCTTTGGTGGTGAACTTGAAGAGTAAATAAAATGATTAGGAAAGAAACCCTATTGCCCTAGCCCAGCAGTTCTCAACCTGTGGGTCGCGACCCCTTTGGCGGTCAAACGACCCTTTCACAGGGGTCGCCTAAGACCATCCTGCATATCAGATATTTACATTACGATTCATAACAGTAGCAACATTACAGTTATGAAGTAGCAACGAAAATAATTTTATGGTTGGGGGTCACCATAACATGAGGAACTGTATTTAAAGGGCCAGAAGGTTGAGAACCACTGGATAGAGTGTTGGCTGCGGACTGAAGGGTGCTGGGTTGTGGGCTCCATCCCCAGTGTGGGGTGTGCAGGAGGCAGCCGATGGATGATTTTCTCTCATCATTAATGTTTCTGTCTCTCTCTCCCCCTCCCTTCCTCTCTGAAATCAATAAAATATATTTAAAAGAAAAGAAAGAGACCCTATTGCCCAGCCAGCATGGCTCAGTGGTTGAGAGTTGACCTATGAACCAGGAGGTCACGGTTCGATTCCTGGTCGGGGCACATGCTCACCTAGATTCTGTATTACTATCTCCAGGATCTATAGCTTCCTGCTGCCATGCCTTTTACACTCACAGATATATGAATGGTCCTAATGTGAATGGAGAAAATGGCCCCTAACATCCACTGGAAACACTTGGGTTGGCTATAAGGAAGAATCTTCCTACCATAAAGGTAATGGAATTTGATGTCCTATTACTAAAAAAAAGGGTTCTCCATTACTACATAAATGGCATTTATCGCTGAGTTCCATTGACTTCTGCCCCTGTAAATTTTGAGTGCCATATAAGAATGCAACTTTACTTTTGATTACCTGGGGTGTTTGTGAAAAGCACTTGTTTGGGTCCTACCTCAGTGCCAATAAACCGAACTCTTCCATGGAGGAGCCTAGGAATCAGTATTTTTAACAAATAGCCCAAGTGATTTTCATAATCAGGAAAGTTTGGAAAACACTAATCTAAGGCTCTGCTTATAGTAATATAAAGCTATTAATCCTCGGGAAGAAATGGATGATTCAAAGAGGGAAACTGGCTAGACAGATGAGTCATAAGCACCTCATGAGTGAGTTAGGAAAGCCAGAATTTTAGGGGGAAAGGTTGACTGTGCAGTTAGAGTTGGAGCTAGCATTCTTAGCACCACTTTGCAGTCATTAGTGGCTTGTTCCACGCCCTGCCTCTCTACCTCCTTGCCTTCCACACACACTTTTTATTGCAACAAGACTTTGCCTGAAGACTCTGATAGATCTTAAACTGCAGGTGGAATCCAGTAGCAGACGAGAGACACTTCCCAAGTCCCTGCATGTGAGAGAGAAGACTGAACGGTCTGTTACCTCCCTGCACTGACATCTCAGATCCCCCACTTACCCAAATTGGAGAGCCTTTTCATCAAGCCAGCTTCTCTGATAGCAGCAGGACCATGTTCCACTCCTTTTCTTTTCTGTCACACAAATTACACAATGAGATGCGAGGGGAGATGACTGAAAAGACAACTATAGTTCACAAAAATACAGACATCTGCTATGCTACACGGGATGTATCCGCAAGGAATGTATTCCAAGAGACCCCCGTGGATGCCTGAAATCGCAGACAGTACCGGACCCTATGATAAAGTTTAATTTATAAATTAGGCACAATAACAGATTAACAACAATAATAATAAAATAATTATAACAATAAAATAAGGGTTAGCTGAGCACGCAGTGCTGTATCTCAACCTGATAACTGAGAAGGCTAAGTGACTAACCCGTGGGTGATGCCTACAGCATGAACGCACCCGACAAAGGATCCTGGACAGGACAGAGCAGGACTGCTTGAGATTCATCACAGCTGCTCGCAATAGGGTGCAATTGAAAACTTGTGAATTGCTTATTTCTAGAATTTCAATTTGACATTTTCGGACCACAGTTGATCGTGGGTCACTGAAATATTGGAAAGGGAAACCAAGGGAGGACGAATGATCTTAGTTCCCAATAGAACCCTCCCCAAACCTGACATTCTCAATATTTTCACCCGAGGTCTGGCTATTTCACACACTCGCAGGGAAGGAGGGGAAAACAACAATCACTGGAATCAAATTAACCTTCCAAGCCCCATGTGTGAAGGGCGAGCGGGAGCCAAGACAGGCTGAGCCAGGTGAGGAGGATCTGGTGGTTGGTGTACGTGGCTGGCAGGGGCCAGGTCCCTGGCTTCTCTACCAGTGAGCTCCCAGGGCTGCGGGTTTCTTTCACGAAGAGAGAACAGCCCCTCCCGTCCTGCCAACGCTGGCGCGGCCAGCGCCAATTTCCTTCCCAGTTAATGCTCTGAGAACGAATCCTGAATTCTTAGAAATCGCTCCCTTTCGCCTGCACTCTCTCTATTTTACACAGCGGATTCCTGCCGGTTTCTCCTCCTCCAGCCCCTCCCGGGACTCCTCTCCCTCCTTTCCGCTCCTCCATCACCCTCCGCGGGACCCACCACTTCCTCGCTCCGCCCAGGGAGGCCGCGGAAACCCGCCAGCTCGGAGCCCCCGGCCGAATCGCACACAGGGTTCCTCCATCCCCTCCCTCCTTCCCTGTGTTCTAGGGGGAAAAGTCCCACGTGCTCTCCCGGTGCCCAATCGCCAGAACCACCAGGTTTTCCCCATCCTCTCCTCGATTCTTCGAACCCCTACCCCCCACCCGCTCCGCTTTCTCTGGTTCTAGCGGGCGGAGATCCCGTTCCCCGGTGCCAGGTCCTAGTTCTCACCTGTCCCCGTGAGAACGGGGCTCCGATCACAGCCACCGAGTGGACAGACTTTTTCAGAACGAAATGCACTTGCGTCCGGAGACGCGAGAGGCTGCAGCTTAGGGACATGATGGGCAGCGCGGAACGTTGCCAAGCGACCGGCTGCTCCGTGCGCTTCGCCGCCTGAAGTGAGCGCCGCCGCCGGCAGCTGCGCTTACCTCCTGGTGCGCGAGCCGCACCGCGCAGCCCCGAGACGTCACGGCCCCGCCCCGACCCCGCCGGTGGGGCCCCCAACCAGCCTCCCGCACACCTTCCGGCAGGCCCCGCCCACTGCTCCCTGATGTCACCCCACCACCAGCCGGCTCTCCATCCAGGGAGCCCCAGCGGCTGACACCGTGAAACCAATGATCAGGGTCTGGTCATTAAGAGATGGTTACAACAGGTGTGTCCCTCCGTGGACAGCGGCCAGTCCTCGCTGATCAAGGAAAGGGATGGCTAGGCTGAGACTGGTCTCACCCGACCCTCAGGGAGTGCCCTGCCAAGACCAAGCCTGCATCCACCTGCTCCGGTCCATCTCAGAGCTCAAGGTCCAAAAAACGCGCTTACCTTTGGGAATTGAAGGCCAGGAGATCAAATCTAGATCAGAGCTCTCTGGGCCAGGCATATTAATAAAATCCCACCTAGTTTCGGTGTTTCGGATGGGAAGCTTAGGATTTACAATTACTTTCCAGATGTTTTCAATTCTTTACCTGAATAATGAGGACACTGGTTATTAAAAACCAAACACAGCAACATATCTGAACTAGCTGAAAGTAACAATTAACTAGAGTATTAGTAATTGATAATAATAAATTAGACTGGACTTCCTTCTGGAGGAAGCCCAGGTCCTGGGTGCCAGAGGGAAGCCGGTGCCGGCAGCCGGGGGAAGGAAGGTCTACTCTTGTATGAATTTCGTGCCTCCGGCCTCTAGTATTTTAATAATAGTAACCAACAGTTTCTTTTTTTTTCTTTAAGTATATTTTTATTGATTTTTACAGAGGAAGGGAGAGGGATAGTTAGAAACATAAATAAGAGAGAAACATCGATCAAGCCTGCAACTAAGGTACATGCCCTTGACTGGAATCGAACCCGGGACCCTTTAGTCCTCGGGCCGAGGCTCCATCCACTGAGCCAAACCAAACCGGTTAGGGCAGTACCAACAAAGTTTCTTAGAACTTTTAGCCCTCTAACAGTTCCATAAAGCACGGTAGCCCCCCTCATCTTGGTTTTGCTTTCCCAGGTTTCAGTTAACCACGGTACACAAAGAGTAAATGGAAAATTTAATGAGTTTTAAATTGCATGTTATTCTGAGTTATTGATGAAATCTCCACCATCTTGCTCCATCCTGGCTGGGCTGTGAATCACCCCTTCATCCAGCATATCCACAGATGCATGACACCCATTCATTAGTCACCTAGTAGCCCTCTTGACTATCAGATCAATGGGTCCTTATTGCTTCATCACAGTGCTTGAGTTGGAGTTACCCTTGTTTTACTCAATAATGGCCTCAGGTGCAAGAGTAATGATGCTGGCAATTCAAATATGCCAAAGAGAAGCCGTAGAGTGCTTCCTTTAAGTGACAGTTAAGTATGTAGAGGGGGTCTTGAAACATGTCCCCGGGGATAAAGGGGGACTACTATAGGGATTATTTTAAATTCAAGGAATCGGGATCAGAGAAGATAAGTAACTTTCCCGAAGTCACATAGCTTGGAAGTGGCAGAGCTCTGTGACTCCAGATTCTAAATTCTTAACTATGTCACCACAGCTTGTAAGATTCTGGACGTTAGTCCTACCAAAATAATTTTTAATTGATTTTTAGAGAGAGGGGTGTTAATGTAAATACCTGAAAAATATTTCCTGATGCCAAGTTACATGCTGCTTTCCAAATTATTTCAGAGGTCTCCATGGCAACATCATAACTCCAAGCAGCTGTAGTAATGTACTAGTAAGGCAGTATATTTAGTTTTAGAGGATAAATTTTATTCCTGTCTCCCCCTGCTGGTTTAACAAAGAAATGTCTTTGAAGCCTTAGCAAAATAAAGCGGGTATTACTGTTAGGCAATGTTGTTGAAAGTACGGTCCCAGACCAGTAGCGTCAACATTTGCACACTTGTCAGAAATGCAAATTATTGGATTTACTCCAAGCTTACTTAGTTACTCTGGGGATGGGGAACCAGCAACCTAAATTTTAAGAAGTTCTCCAGGGTGGGGAGATGTAGAAAACAGTAGAGATGCCGTCAGGGATTCAGTCACTGTTACTGCCACACTTGCTCAGATCCTTGGAATTATTTTGGCACCTTTCTCTCGCCCATCACCACATCCAGTTTCTCCCCTTTCCTATGTTTTCTGAAGTTAGTACTGGCACAGACTACCTCAGTATCTCCTGGACTATTGCGAAAACCTCTTTTTGAGCACTTACTGGGAGTCACCAGATTGACCATTCTAAATCAATCCTGCATGTCACTTTCAGTGGCTTTCCACTGCCCATGGTTTAGTCAGAGGTAAATTACTAATTCCTCATTATCATGCATCAGGGGAATGAATAGTAATTGTTATATTACTATTATACTTTAAAATTAAATTTATTCTATATGTTTTGGGCCTGAAGTGACCACCCAAAAATATCTTATAAATCATTTTTTAAAAAATCCAAAGTTCAAATAACAGGTCTGCTTTTCTTTTAATTTTATTTCAGATAGAGAAAGGGAGAGAGAGATGTTGATTTATTGTTACACTTAATTATGCATTTACTGGTTGCTACTTTTATGTGCCCTGACCAGAGATTGAACCTGCAACCTGGGCATATTGAGATGACGATCTAACCAGCTGAGCTACCTGTCCAGGGCCCTGGTCTGCTTTGATTTTCAAAATGGACATTTATTTCAAAATAACTTATTAAAGATAACATTCTAAGGTTATAAAAGTCATAAAAGAATGAGCTAAGTTTTATAAATTTATTTTAAACTTGTACTGGGTTGTCACATAGCTCTAGGACCCTTCCTTGGGTCTAACCCAGCTTGTTCTACTTTTCCTCTTCATTTGTAGGATAGTCTAGAGATCTGTCTCTTTAATTCAGTGGCTGCCACACTCTATCCCTTGAGAGGTTGTTGGGAGTGTGTGTGTGCATGTGCGTGTGTGTGTGTGTGTGTGTGTGTGTGTGTGTGCGCGCGCGCCGTGCGTGTGGGGGTGTTTGTGGCAGGGGTGTGAGGTTGTGAGTAGGTGAGATCAGATTATGGTATTTGCCAATTTCCATAGTGTGATATCACTGAACATGGCATTGTATTTCAACCATATAGATGTAAACAACATAAATAACCCCCAGGAGCATCTATCTATATATATAACAGGCTATAAGCGACCGACTGATCGGCTGGTAGGTATGACCTGCACTGACCACCAGGGGGCAGGTGCTCAACACACGAGCTGCTGAGCGACAGCAACTTTGCAGAGTGCCCTCTTGTACTCCGGGACCCTCGGTTTCAACCCAATCCCCGCAGGCCAAGCCGAGGGACCCCACTTGCCGGAAGGACCCTGCTCACTCCCCGGACGCTCTTCGAGTCCCAGCGCCTCCCCAGGGGAGGGACCGGGGAGGGACCGCGGGAGGTTGGCTCCAGGGCATGTCCGGCCCATCTCGCCCAGTCCTGCCCCGCCGGCCACCTTCTAATTGATTTCCTTTCAATGCGTACGAATCCGAGCCCTGGCCCTCTAGTAAATAAATAATAAGATATAGTAAAATAGCCGAAACCGGTTTGGCTCAGTGGATAGAGCGTCGGCCTGCGGACTGAAAGGTCCCAGGTTCGATTCCGGTCAGGGGCATGTACCTGGGTTGCGGGCACATCCCCGGTGGGGAGTGTGCAGGAGGCGGCTGGTCGATGTTTCTCTCTCATCGATGTTTCTGACTCTCTATCTCTCTCCTTTCCTCTCTGTAAAAACTCAATAAAATATAAAAAAAAAAGATATAGTAAAATAATTAGGCAATGATAGGCTTTAAATGTATGCCTATTATCTTAATTTTTAATATAGTTTACTTGTAAGTTTATATGTGGGGGACAGAAGTTTCTCTTGAGCCCACAGGGAAACAGTTGCCATTAGCTCAAAATCATCTGCATACCATAGAGGCAGATCTTGGGTGTCTTCATTCTGAACCCTTACAGTCCTCCCCAGACTTTCACATTCCAGAACGTTGGATTGATCAATTAATTGTTCTATATCTCATTAAGCCAGTCTTAGTCTTAAGAGAAGTTCAATTCAGTTAAACAGTTGTTTCTCATTTCAGGAGGCTGGAATGCCAGCTGGAAAGTTAAACCTGTGCCATAAGCAATCAGGTATTCAATAAGAGGTATCTCTATGGAAACAAAAGAAAAACAAAGGTTAATGAATGGAGCAGACTATAACCTTGGTTTCTGAGTTCTGAAGGCAGGCAGTCAAGATTTCTGGATGTCTGTCTTGAATTATTTTCAGATGGAGAGAAGGCAGGCAATCAGTCTGACAGATTATTTTGGTCTGCAGTTTGGATGTCTGGTGATTTTTCTGCAATAGGCACAAAGATTGTCCATATATTAGCTATTATGGTGACTTCTCTCAAGTTAATATCAAGTCATCCCACTTTAGTTTGCATGGCTTTGGGAAAAGGGCAGTTTTAGTTCTCAAAGATTCCAACTCAAAACTGGAAACGTTAGTTTGGAAATTCATAGCCAGATATTGGAGGAGACTAGAAGAATTCAGAATCTAGTCCAGTTTACAAGTAGGAATAAAACCTCAAAAGACAATACAAATATATGGTAATGGGAGGAGTAGACTTTGGGTGGCAGGCACACAATGCAATATACAGATGATGCATTATAGAACTATACCTTTGAAACTTGTATGTTATTAACCAATGCCACCCTAGTAAGTTTTTTTTTCAGTTGTTGCCTTTAATTAACATCTCAACAAGTAACATATTCTTCTATAATTATAATATGGAAATGTTTAAGAACAAAACAGAAATTTTTTGGGCAAATGCCTAGGAAAGAATGGTTAAGTTAATCCAAGGTTATTTATTTAAATGTTATCTTTTAATATATATATATATATATACACATGTATATATTTTTTTATTGATTTCACAG